TGGGATGGCGGCTTCACCGTTGTATTTGGAGCTGGAATCACGCCACGGACATCTGGAAAAAGCGAGGCTTGAATGGTATCCGCAGCACTATTCTTCAATTCTCCACTTCGTTTGCTGCAATGGATTGCTCGATGATGAAAACTTTCAGAAGTCGATACGTCTCCAGAAAGCCAGTCCCCGATGAACAATTTCCTCTGTGCGTTGGGTTATATTCACATCGACGAATCTTGCACTACCCACTCGGTCAGAACTGGGCTGGTAAATACTAAAGATTATTAGTTATTCCTGATAATTACTAACATCTCCTGCCGGGCAGGTGCAATACTCGAATTCTAAAAGCACCAAGAGATGTATAACGATGGGGTTAGCCTACTCCTCTGAAGCCATCATCCAAGCGGTCCCGTACCGTACTGATTCCCGGCTTATCCATCCCGAAAGCAGCCAAGGCGAACGATCCTGTGTTCGGCCAGGCGCACGAGTTCCTTTGTTGAACCCGACTTTCAGCATACCGACACGAAACTGGCCGCGATACAACGAGACCTATCGCAGTGTCAACGAACTGGTCTAGTTCCTGGTCGAGGAGCGTCAGAGGCTACGTGCGTTCTTGGTCGGAAATGGTCGATTGGAGGGTGATGATGAGCCTCGGAATCTTCTGGATCCCTTTTTCTCATCGTGTGTGTGTGTGTGTGTGTGTGTGTGTGTGTGTGTGTGTGTGTGTGTGCGTGTGCGCATTACACTTAGATTCGAAATTGGCTTCCATGTTTTACACAGAGAAATTGTTTCTGGAGCCCTAAATTGAATCACAAAAATCCGTACGCTGGATACGATTAGCATAGACGCAGGGGCTCGTTCGCTAAGCTTACAGAGTAATGGTTCTTTCAAGCGTTATTATACGAGTTGTAAGTTACTAAGTTACCCATACGAAAAAAATACAAAGTCGCGAAGTATGATGGCTCATTCAATTAAATAACAGGTGAGCCGCAAGTTATACTGCTACATTGCCGGCACCTACATTACGCGACGCAAGATGAAACGAAGGGTGGATTATTCATGTATCGACGGTCAAATACCCAGTTTCCCATTTCAGTAGGGTTATGAAGTTGGAATCGGCTCCATGTGAAAAATGGGAGGCGGTTTCGAAAATCGCTGTAAGATCCAGGAGCCACATTGGTAGTAATAAGCACGTGGACAACCAGGAAGAAGCCATATCCAACCCGCCACAAAATGGTCACAAAACCCCATGTATAAGAAGTCGACAACGCAATTGCTAAGTAGAATAATGCGAAATGCCACAACATGAACTAGGGAAAGTTTGAATATTGTATGAAACCATGCTCGTCTCTGCCAAACCCTTGTCGAAAGAAGAAAAAATGTTATCACGGGGAAAACAACAGCGGTCGACCAAGCAACAGAACACGTGAAGTCAATGACGCTTATAATAGATGGCGAGATTGATTTTGTCATGGGAGGCATGTAGACACTAAACACCGAAATAAAAGATAATGCCCAGGACTTTGGATAATTCGGAAGTAAAAAACGCCAAATTCTGTAAATACTGTTAAACCAGATTTTTAACGTTAGGAGAGATGTCAATGTGCTTGCAATCGGGATCTCTCTCTTTATTCTTTGATGGATAACCCCCTGAAATTTGAAAACTTGTCGAAGAGCAAAAATACCTTGGAATGCGAACACGTTTACGAGAGAGCACAGGTTTTGAGGAGAGAGATGCCGAAAAAGCGAGATGATTCTCTCGTAAACGCTAGGAGCCAGCCTGCGTCTCAACTGGTTCCTCTGGCCCCGAAACCTCCATTCCCAGTTGAAAATCTGGATAATAATTGAGATTAGTATCGCGAAACCGCCTCCAATGGCAATCATGGCATTTTCATAGTCGAATGAAGCATCAACGAAGTAGGTTAAACCGTCCATATAGCTCCATATACTGGAGAAACATCGCGAAGCCAAATCAGTCACCGTCATTATGGCTTGTGCTAACCCATAGAGTAACACACAGACTCGGGCCCATCTCAGTAAATTATTGTCCGCACCTGACAGGCGAACTTGCCCAGGTTCACACTCAGTAAGTGGCATAGAACCATTCCCATCTGGCGTTGTAGCATGTAACCCAAGCGCAGCGGAAGTATAGAATTTCCAGTCTCTCCAGCCATGGTGTGCAGGCCAATGTCGAGGTATTCTGTACGCGTTCCATGTCGACATGATCAAGCTAGCCACTGGTAATAGTGGCACAACAAAAAACAATGCACTCCGATAGGTTTGTGACCCAGCGTCAAGCCTTTGAAGAGAACTCAAATGTCCAACTGCAAAGGCTCCGCCGATATGTATGAATATTGTTGTCTTCAAACAGTCAGACAGCCTCCGGCCAGCATCAAGTATGTCAAATAAGACCTCGCCGTCTGTGTAAATTAGGTGCATATCTGGTCTCTCCTAGTTTGGATATCAGTATACTTTCATATAAAAAAGTTGGCCATTCCCTTCACTACCTTGTAAATTGCTTCCCAAATATGTGCGTGGTTGGCAAACCGTCTGATCATGGAGCCCGCGTTCATCTTAATAAATGGGGACCCCATAATTTCGTAAATGATATTCTGCAGAGGTAGTGTGAGCAGGTATTTCGTGCCCCCCAAAAAGTTGATCGTCGTAGTATAGTGCTCGCTTCAGAACTCAGCTCGGCCTTTGGATGAACACTTACATTGCTGCACCGAGTGACATGGCAGGGTTAAAATCATTGAAATATACTTGCCACATCCTAGGTAGATACCAGATCCCGTTCCACCACTTGTCATCGTGATGTAATCCCGGAGGTAACTCAACACATACATAGACTTATACAACGATTCTAGACCGCTCGATGGCAGCGGTATAGGTCTACAACACACAATATACGGTAGATCCTGATTTGGCTCCCTCGCCCTCTGATGTGCCGCCTTCTTTGATCAATTGCTAGCGATCAGCACTCGCCTTATGCTAGCAGTCGTTGCCGCGTCACAAACTCGTCCCAGAGGAAAACCACCATCTCATCGAGGTACTGTAAAGATTAGGCTTCTCCTGTAAGTAGTCGTAGAGAGCCTCCAATGTCGGAGTAAAGATACTTCGTGGTCTGCCTGCTCGAATGGGAGGCGCTCGAGTGTCACCCAACTGCCGCATATTACTGCGAACCGTGGTGACAGAACGCAGGCTACACCCAGTAGCATCAGCAATCTGGGCTACGGTTAGCGTTCTGCTCAGTATCATATCCCGAATAATTTCGCGCGTGGAAGAGGGCAGATTCGGTGCCATCGTGCCTTGGTATCTTAGCGGGTGCTCGGAGATGCAGCCGCCGGGAGGGACAATTTTGGGAGAAACCGTATGAATGAAAAACATGCGAAACATAAGTACAGGGACCGTAGCTTATTAACCTTGTCAGATTTTCTGTGTGTAAAATTTGGAAGCCAATTTTGAATCTGAGTTTACTATTTTCAAAGAAACGCCGAAAGTCACAAAGGAACTTCTGTGCAGCATCGTACTGGACGAAGCCTGAGTATTCACAGATCGGCTAGATCTTCCTACCTGGAACCTACCTGATTACGCTTACCGGTAGCTACTAAGGTTCCTACTGTCTGTAGTATCCTCTCCCAGGAAATGAATCAATAATCAATCCTCATCACCCTCCAGATATAGGTCGCCAGAACAACAAAGTCATGCGCAGTGATGACTATATCTCTCTCCCTCGGTCCTCGAGCCTCCCTCCGCCAAATACGTAGAAACGGAATCACTAAAGGCTCCCCTAAAACCGAAACTGTCCCACCACCGCCCCCTGCAATTTCGATGTGGCAGGTAAGCTGCGGTCTGCATGTCACCGCATCCCATTCCCACTTCTCAATTGTAATAAGTGGTCGATTCCGATCTCGCTGGATCATTATCGTAATAGCAATATTTGCTTGTCCTTTTTCCGGATGCACCCATGTCCTCGCATCGTCACGAAGTTTAGCCTCCTCGATTTGAGACACACCCAGATCTTAACAATTGAATAAATCGCTGAGAAGGGAGATGTTCCAAAGGTTTTGTAAGTCCATCAGCAGCGTTAAGCTTTTGTGGGAATTATAGCAGTAATGTATTCGGATTCATCGCTCAAATGAACAACACATGCCACGTATCAACCCCTTTGATAAAATGAAGACAAATTCGCTGGTCGACATGATGGATTCACCTTCTTTTCTGTCCCACTGGTCAGTCAGAGACATAATAGCCATAAATAGGGTCCACCGTCCGGCAGTGAGTGGTATAGGTAACTATGGATTGCGCCCACCAGGTAGCGGTATATGCGAGACACCGTGACCGCCACAAAATGATGATGGCTTGGTTTTGTTCACAGCAAAGGCAATTTCGACGCGAGTGTTGTACTTTGCCTGAGTGAGAGACAACCTTGGAAGAAAGAAAACATCAAGACACCATTAACGCTACTCCAAGACACCTCTCCACCTCACACCTTCCGAGCACGGAGGAGTTAGAACTCTTCAAGTTCTGTCGTCAGGTCCTGCAGGTATATATAACAGTACTGGCACGCCTTGGCGAGACGCTGAAGCCATATTATGCTTGTCAGCGAGAGCAATAACGGGTGCAACTGGCGAATGAAGATTCAAACGAGCAAAGGACTCATAACCTGTGCGTAGGGTGCTACGCACTGAATGGAATAGCACAGAGAGAGCCATGAAGGTGAGAAAGTAGTGGAGAGAATGTCCCATCCACGTACAGTAATCAATCCACAATCCCCAGTCTCCATCGGGCCAGCTTATCGAGAGGTAGGAAGCCTTGACGACGAGGCTAGTGGAGGCATGTGATTGTAGTCTGTCGACATTGTTAGTCGTGGGTGTGTGAAGTTCAACTCAGGGGAACTTACAAGACTACAAGCAAGTCGATCCACAACGTCTGGGACTTAGCAGTCCAGACATGAGGCACCAGAAAAAGAAATCCGTAACGAGAATTATATATATATATCTCGATTCTTAAACATGCCATGTGCAATATGCGACATTTCGTTGGTAGCGATATGCTTGGATGAAGGAGAAAATGAGCAGGTCGCTAGACGCCCGGTATCTCCCAATGGACTGCTTTTGTTGGAAGCTCTCGAATGCCTCGGCGATATTCCAAACCGGCTGGTATCTAATGATTCTGTGGTAAGCGATGATTCTTCCGGAGGAGTTTCCAAGTTAGGATCTGGGTGAACTTACTTTTGGTACCGCCATGCGGTGTCTGGCCCTGTGTCGGGGGCGTAAGCTGCGACGGTTAAATGCCATGCGGCACGTTCAACGTGGTCATTGACTTGATCAACAAGGGGCCGGAGAGGCAGCCAAATTGCCTCGTGGTTTTGAATCGGAGGGCATGACATGTACGCTTTGAAGTCTGTATCTTCCTTTTGGGAGAGGAGTCCTCAACTCATAGGAGTACGAACGCACCCAGGGTCTTGGAGATCAAGACCAACGGTGCCGTTACGAGAAGGTACAACTCTACCTAGAGATCCATGGTGAGAAGGCGACTTGTAATCAAGGTATGACTAGTTGAGTACCACATAGAAGGGAGATCGACTTTTCTTTTTCTTGATCTCCCGTGTGGTACTCTAATAGCCATACCTTGATCACAAGTCGCCTTCTCACCATGCATCTCCAGGCAGAGTTGTACTCTCTCGCACCGTTGGTGAAGATCGCGTCGCTTTATTGCATGCACTTTCAACTGTGTCGGATGCGGACAAATGTTTTGGTAGGCAGGCATCTTGATTGAGAGAAACTGCTCATGGTGCTCAAAGGGGGAGCAGTGGCTTCTGAAATTATTCCATTTTTCTAGGAAGTGATGGGAGTATGAAGAGGATAAGTTACGGTGTCAACAAACAAAGAGAAGAGAGCGAAGTTGTCTAGACATGGAGGGTGCGATGGCCTGGATGCCTGAGAAATTCATGCCTCAGGCCATTGTTTGTCCAGTAAAGTAGGGACACAGCTCGTCGCAGAGTTTTATATATACGTTTTCTTAAAATATGCGAGGTTTCTGTTTGTAAGGAATGTCATTTTTAACTGAATTTGCCATGGTACTAGTAATAACTTCAATGGATAGCGGCAACATGACAAATTATGTATAAACAACACTATTTGTTTACTACACAATTGATCTTACTAACATTTAATTTGAAAAAGATACTCAGTATCCCTATTAATAAGTGACAATCAACCAAGTAGGAAATCAGTGGGTCACCTATCAAAAAATTTCCAGTATGTACTAATGCACCCTAGCTTAGAATAGGTATAACTACATCTTATAACGAGGGACTGCAGCGTGACCCCTGCTAAAATATGTATATCTGAAAAGAAAAACGAAAAAAAAACCATCAAGATTGGCATGAACGTACATCGTGTATTACTCGTTTCCCATATTTTATCCTCCTCGCCTATCGTCATCGTCGACACACTGCAGACTGAAAAAGACAATAGACAGCACAGCACAGTCCAACACCAATCCGGTCCCCCAATTCATACGAGATTTCCCTGCATATCGGCTTCGCATCCGAGTCGGCCGAATATACCTGGATAAGAAGGAGACTCGGCAGCAGATCAGATCAGATCAGGCCATGCATGCATGCATGCTGACGAACCCACGAACCCTCGATTGGATCCATCACATTGCCACTCCCCTCCAATCCCCGTGCGCTTTCGAAAGGGAAAAAAGACCCGAGTCCTCCTTGGGTGTGCTCCGGGTCTTTACTTCAAGAATGTGAGCCGGAGGGCAAGTGGAACAACTGAATGAGTTTTCGGCCGACAGTCGGCTCGATCTCGGTCCCATCCCGCGCAATCTTAACCTCTCGATTCGCATTCCACGGATTCCGCAAACCCCGCGTCCGATGGAATGGCACCCGTTCAGTAGATAACCACTGAATACGAAAGGGTTTGCCAAAAGATTGTCCCTCCGCTTCGCCGTCCTCGAGAGAGAGTCCTTCAACGCTGCGCTCGCTGCGTGCGTCATCCGTCTCGTCTTCGAGGGACTCGACTTCCCAAAAGATCGTGCCGCGGGCTGAATCGTCGATGATACGGCCCTTGGGCGCGTTGGATGTCGCGGGTGTGAGGGTCATTTCTAGTTCTTCCGGAGCTGGGGTAGTGCCTGGGGTGGGTTCTGGTCGGATGGGAATTTGTAGGGCTAGGTCTTCGTCGTCGCTGATTGGTGATAGCATTCGGGCGTAGCCGAAGTATTCGCCTGATTTGTTTGCGGAGAAGATTAGGTAGACATGTTCGGTGGTCTAGAGAAAAGAAAGAAGGGTTAGAATCAACATGAAAATACGAGGCGGGGGCCAGACATAATTGCAAATAAAATACAATCAAAATGACTTACTTCAAAGGCTTGGTTCAGACTGATCTCATTATGAGTCTGAGTCGCCCAGATACCACTCTGCTTGCTGAGTTCAAGATCGTCCACCGTCAAACTCTTCACAATGAAATATCGGTCGATAGATCGAGCATTATCATCCTGGGTTGAAGGGAGGGGACCTGGACCTGTCTCTGGTTCTGTAGCTATACCCTCACCGCCGCTTGGAGGGTCGGGAGTCTCCTCATTTTGTAAACGTGACCCCGGACCACCAACGCCAATAGAGCCAGATCCGGGAGCTGTAAATCCTTTGCGTAGCCGACAAACAAGACGTACGCCATGGAAGCGCGAATCATGGAATCTCGCTAATGCATCGAGACAAGCGGGAGCAGATTTGTAGTTGACGAACGCGCAGTTGCTCTTCGAGATCAAAAACACACTCTCAATATCGTCCGTGGCGTCTTGCGAGAAATGGTCCTTGAGATCTATAACACTAGCGCCTGGCGGTAGGTTTCCAACCCAGAGTGCGTGGCCGGACTGCTTGGGCTTTCGCGGGGGCCCTCGGGGCGGATTTGTCGACGAAGGTGCTGTGTATGCTAAGGGAGTCGCGTCTGTTGGTTATGAAGTATTAGCAACAAATCCTGTGAATCGAATCACGGTGATCGAATTATGGGAGCCACTTACCAGAAGCGTTCGAACCCGCTGCCAACTTCATTGGGTTAGAGCCATCCACGATAGTCTTCGAAACATCATATTCCTCGGCTGTCTGCTTATCCACATCCCGCTTCGAAGGACTTGTGGAAGAAGATCCCCGAGATCCTGAGGCCGAGCCCTGACGAGGCGGTTGTCGCATTGGAGTAGGCACAGGAAGCGCCCCGGGCCCATATGGTACGCTGTAGCCCGGGTGGTAGTAACCCGGCCCATAGGAAGGGGAATGCCCAGCCATATTCTGCATCGATGGGTTGGAGACGAACGGAGGGTAATGGCCTCCGTGTTGAGTGGTACCCGGGAGTTGAGGCATGGCGTATGGAGGAAAGTTTGGAGTGTAGGGAACACCATAAGGGACAGCACCACCGGGGGGGTTGACCAGGAAAATGTCCCATTGATTGCATGGGATACATCATCCCCTGGGCGTGGGTGGCGGGGTAGTGATGCATATGGTGCTGTTGTTCGAACGGCGAACCAGTCGATTGATGACCAGGCAGAGCATAAGCCATGTTGGCCATGTTCATAGAAGACTGGGGCGACGCATATCGACCATGGGGCGGAAATCCTGAGGGGCTTGACGGGTAGCTGATGGGTGTTGGTGCTGGTTGAGCGAGCTGGCTAGCCTTTGTGTTTCCTATCGCAAATGGAAGAATCCGGGTTAGTATGTGTTTCTCTTCTGCGTCGGAATGATGGTATTGTTTGGACAAAGCATCGAGACATACCTGGTGTTGAAGTTCGCCTCGAAACATCGGGCTCTGATGCCGGGGGTACCCCATCAGCCCCTCGGATTGGGTTGATCGTTCCGGAAGAAACATCACCCATGGAGCCCGGTTCGTAAGACGAGTGACAACAAGGAGACCGAATGTAAAATATTGCCACTACAATCGCAAAGGAGGGAAAAGGTCAGTGGCCCGCTCAAAATCAAAAGATCTCAATGACCACCGACATACCTCACAATGGCCTCGATCTCAAAGAGCGTGGGCCAGGAATAGTTATGAATTTCCACAAAAGATCAATATATTTGCATATACTATCAAATTCCACAGGCTGACGGAAGGTAATTTGAGCCCAGCAAAGGCTTGAAGTCGAATGTGCTGTCCAAAAAGATGAAAATCGTCAATGGAGGACTCATGAGGGAGGCGAAGAAACAAAAGCCACAGTGTGAGAAGTGGGACGAGCTAACAACAGAACAACACCACTCCTAGCCATGTGATTGAAAAAAATGGGGACTGCCAGATGAGCGAAAGGGCTCGAGAACAATAAATCAATTTCAGTGCGTTAGGGTTCACTTCGCAGGGCAGGGAGAAGGGGAGAGGAGAGGGGGTAACAGTTAGAATGCAGCAGTATTGGGATTACATGCATCATGACTGACAGCGAAGATGGACCGGTGTGCTCTTCCCAAGGAAACGCCACTATGTGGCACATATTGGAAGGGGCAGTGAGAGAAATGCCAAAAAAAATCCATCAGGTGGGACGAGGTAAACAGGGAAATATAGATGCCCGCAGATAGTCACGTTAGTGGAGACCCAGGTGTCAATCCCTCGGCGGCCGCAAAGGGGGGGGGGCGCTGGTTTATCTTCCGGGGGCTTCAGCACGAAATGGCCCATTAGCCTGGCCTTTGCTGAACTTTGGCCTTTGGGGAAATCATGCACCGCCGGGGCCAGATAGGGCTTAGCCAGTCAGCCCCGGGAGGAATTAACTCCACAAAATGAAACAATTCGTCCTCGCCTTCCATTCGGCTCGGCGGAAATCCCTCCATACGGCAATGGAAATAGTTTTGAGGGTAGTGTGGGCAGGAAACTTCATCCAAGGGGGAATTGAGGGGCATGTACCAAAGAAAAAGACGTAGGAAAATAAGAAAACATACCGAGATCTTGGCTTAAGACGGGAACGGGACAGGAATAGGAGAACAAGGTCAAAGTGTAAGTGCCTGTGTGACCAGTTAGAGTGAATTGGAGGGGGGAGGGCAGAGGCAATTGGGCATGACAAGCTGACCCGGGGGACACTCACGATAGAGATGCAACAAAGGAAGCCGAGGGGTGACCTGCGACAATGCGCACACACCTTAAGCTAAAATAGAACTTGAGGGCAGTCGAGAATCGACCCCGGGGCTGAGACCTCGGGTTGACGAAGATATAGCTCGCCGCGGAGAGCCGAGTGGAGGTAGCAGTGGTGCTCACGAGCGAAAAAAAAAAGAGAGGCAAACTTGAAATGGAGAAAGAGCCCCAATTCCGCATAAACACGCAACACGCACGCACAACACACACCGATGCCTTGCTGACATCCCTTGTACTTATCTTTGACCCAGTGGCGGATTCGATGGACTTCGGGCACCGGATGTCTCCTTGGCAGATGTGGCTGAAGAGTGACAGAAGGCTGGGATCAAGTACCTACAAGGCACGGTCTCCAGTGCGGATGGGACCGAAGAGGATCGGAGATAGCCCTTTGGCACAGTTCGGATGAGTACACCCTCAGTGGGTCAAGGATGTGTTGTGGGCGAGCCAGCGAGCATATCAATTGGATTGAATGGATTTCCAGGGCGAGAGACTGCCTCCGCTGATCCACGTCTCGGGATCTCTTGCAGTGACAAATGCTTGTCATTCAACGGTGGAGGTGCTTTATTATTTTTATTTTGGAACCGTTGACGACTTTTTTTTTGGAAAAGGAAATCTTGCGGAAAAGTGGAAGTGGCTCGATGAGGGCCGTGGGGAATTGAGGCTTGAGCGATCCGCGGATACGCATTGCATATTATTTCAAAATAGAAAAAGATAAAATAAAATAAAAGTCTTGGCTACCACAGGCCAATGACACGGACATCTCACTGGAATTTGTCAAAGCCATGAGGTTACTCCATAGAGGCAAAAAGGCATTTGCCGATCATGAATGGAGATTCATGTAGACCTTTTTTTGGGGAGTCCCCACGAAGGCTGAGGAAGAGAAGTGCGATTGGCGCTTGAGGTACCTCGACTAATCGGGGTCTAAAGGCACGAATTGAGAAATTCGAGCACCCAATGATGGCTGCACAATCTGTGGCGGTGGTGTTCCAGTTCGCCACTGTCAGGGGTGGGTTAGGATGGGTTCGAAGGGGGGAGGTGGAGAGGGTACAAAGTGTACGCATACAAAACGGGAAAAATAAAATTATGGGAAAAAATACAGAATAGTTACCGTTGAAGTGCTATCCAGCTGCCCTTTCTGCGACATTGATAGGGGCATTCCGGAAGAAATCTACTTCTGGAACGCTAACGCTCAGAATAGCGGGATTTGACATAACGGAAAGGGATGCCGGTGGCTTTGTTGGCGCAAGGGGAGTCGAACATCGACATACGAGTACAGAAATAATGCTGGGCCGCGCATACTTTGGGTATGTCCTGGCCGGTACGCTCCCACTAGACTCGATCATGATCCCACCCTGAATGGGGTGAAACCCAATTCGCTCAAATCCCGCGGTGGCGCGGCCCAAGCGACTAGTACCACGTTAGGGTTAGGAATTCAATCATTCCTTCTAGGTCCATCATGGGCAAGCCAGGAAGAACCACGTACGGCCCTGCCGGAAATCCTGAGATGCGTCTGCAATGTTGTCGCACAGGGTACCGAGTCTGATTTAGAGTCTGGGAGGCGACCCAAGGGACCAGGTCGATCAGACCACTCTGTCGGGTGCGGCGGGAACCCGCCGCAGAAGGTGCACTGTATTTCGACCTCATGGATGTGGGAAGGTGGGAACTGGATACAGCACCTCTTGAACGGTCCCACGCTGATTGGGGCTGGAAGAAACAAGAGAGTGCGCGCGCGAGTGGACAGTAAGGGCGAGGAGAATTGTCCAATTGGGGGCTCTGAAATTGCGAAAAATGGGCCGATGTGGAAGCTTGAGGCGCGAGAGACGAAGCAGGCGAGGTCGGAGGGAGCTAAGGATCCACTGCCGGCGGTCACCGGGATAAAATGCCGTCCAATCAAAATCTCCACTATGACGATCTTCTGTGATTTATTGTATGCCATTTGGCCAGAGGCAACTGCTGTCCCCATAGATCTCCATAGGTAGCAGTAGGTTGGTGCGATGGCAAAGCTAATTGGCGTGGGAGAAGGTGAACCGAGGCGAGCAAAGTATTCGTACGAAGCCAAAGCGACAGCAGAAGCCTGGAGGCAGAAGTATAGAATCCCTCGGGGTGCCCGCGTGGGGAAGAAACCTTGGAAGGGATGTCCAAGTCCGCTCTCACCACCTTCTTCGAGTCCCTGTCGATGAGCTCTGTGGTTCTGGTGAACTGCACCCACAGCGCACTACATTACACAATTACCCACCTGCCCAGAACTGCTAAGGTAAACGAGACCCTTGTTTGCCAATAATCGATGGTGTCTATTCCCCGGATTCTTTCTCCAGATCATGTGACACGAGTCACCTACTGTATGCGAGTACTCGTACTCATCGACCCATTGGAAACACTTCTGTGTATCAAATTTATAACGATAGCCACGAGCCAGAGAAAGTCATTGTCCTATTGCCACTCGAGCTCCAAAGCTCCAATTATTCGCACTTCACCGAGTCAACCTCCGAGTCGCTTACGATTTTGGAGGACTACCGTGACATATCCGTGGTACAGACTCGGAGTATGTACCATTAGCAGAACAAAGACAATATTATTCAGACCGATCGAACTTGGAAGGTACCTCGATTGCCCAACCACATGACTCGAAATTGTGTCCCTCGATCGCCAATGTCAGTGCCAACGCCAACCCTAATACCAATTCTGCGCGCCCCATGCAGTGGAAAGCCACCCACTCCATACTCGATCCAGACTCCATACTGTCCAACAAATCCCACCATTGACACCTCAACCATGGCGTGATCAATTCTACACATCGGAGTTGGCCCGCTGGTCCTTTTGCTCTGCTCTGCTCAAAACGATCAGCACTTTCCCTCTCTCGTATATCCGTACCTTGACCCTTGAACCGATCGCCGCAAGCCGCAAGCCGCAAGCCCCAACGCCTCAGGCACTCCACTCTCGGGCGGTGGGCAGAAAATATGACATCACATCCACCGCCAACACTCCACGTTCCTGGCACTTTTGACCAACCATAACCAATCATTCCCACCACCGACGTTAACCACTTGCGTTCCCGCAGAATATGAGCTCCAACTGAGACACCACTCTCGTCGCACCGTTAGATATTCCTCCTCCATTACACGCCACTGATGTGTATCAACATCACAAACCCACATCGATCGCCAATGCATCGTGTGAAGTCACCATGATGCCCTCGGACCTGAGGCCTCCGCTTTGTTCATCTGGATCTGACCGGACTAGTCTTGCGAACAGTCGAACAACATCATAACGAACGCGCCACCATCGAAGAAAACAGGATGGTACTGTACATACTGTACGTATGTACAGTACTGTTGTACCTTCTCTGCTTGGACACCGGACTATTCCCCAATCACGAAAGACTGATCTTCTATGATCGGCCTTAGGGGTTGCGCACCTCGAGCTGTACAGTACATAGGATGGACCTAACCTACTGTACTAACCTAATCCATCTACGGATGTACATACATGCACCTGCAGCACCTGCCGCCATGGCGGGGGCAGTCAGCCGAGCAGTCAGCCGAGCAGAGGTCTAAGAGCGAAAGCGAAAGCGGGCAAAAGTACTCCGCACCACACCCAGTCGAAATGGTCAATGGACAGTAAATCTGCACAGCCCCGTCCCTAGTCAAGGTAGGCCTTGCTGGAACTGGACAAAATCTGCCAGATCGCAGGGTGATCAATGGGTCCCAGTTTGAGTCATTGGTTAATCGTTCGTCGTGGCAGTGAGGCCAAGACCGAGGCAGGCCAAGCCATGTCAAGCCCTTTATTCCCTGTCGGGAATAAGCATATGCAGGGATCACCAAGAACGAGACAAGGTCCCAGCCGAGGAGGAGCAGGAGCAGGAGCAGGAGCAGGAGCCCGCTTCGCTTCGGTTCCCCCTCCCCCTCGCGGGTATGTACAATGCGTCTACCTCGTTTTCGTTACGAGAGCTTGACATGCATTCCATGTCTCACAGGATCGGGATCAAGATCAGGATCGCTGTAGGGCTGGGGCTAGGCGCGGTGGATCATTGATTTGGAATTGAAACTGGACCTGATAATACTCCGTACAGAGCTGCTCTGAGCCAAACTACAGTGGATAACCCTTCCACTTCCATAAGTGATTTTACAGGCCTACAGTATGTTGGTGCCAGACGCCAGACGCCACCGCCCTGCCCATCACACTGTCAAGTCCAAGGTCAAGGTCATGGTCAAGTGCAACTGCAGATGTGGATCTCAATTCAGATCCAGCCAAGAAACTACTTACTATAGGCTACGCCTTAAAGAGGAGAGGGTCGATGAATATCGCCACTTTCAGGCAGCGACATACCATACCTGCTTGAAGAATCTGCAATCTTGTAAGCGGGTCTGTTGAATTCCGCGCGATCTGTGATCCTAATCGAGTGTTGGGGTGATCTTGCCTGAGGGTCGACTCCCTGCACCTAAGACGCATGTGGTTGATTCCGATTCACAGTGCAGTCTGGTGTTACGCAGAGTCTAGACCAGTCTAGCCCAGCCCATTGCATTGACAAGTCATGTGGAACTTGAATGTGATGCTTTCTGGAAAACTACTGAGTCAGTGTGGGAGTAGAACATTTATTTGAACCATGCATCACTTGGTGTCATGTATGTTGGCCCCAGGCCAGTCGTCCGAGTCATGTCACGCTCTAAACCACCTGGGCGGATACTCATCCTCTCCAGCTTTCGACCGGCCGCTACATACATGACTCGGACATATAGTACACACCTACAAGAGTCTGAGCTGCCAGTGAATATACTAACGAGTAACCAGGTCAGTACTTCAAGTTCTTTCACAGTATACTTGAAATTTATAGCAGTATTCCGAGTCCATTTCGTAAATCATATATACTCCCTACTACCAAGCACTTGGATATTCCAGAGAGAAGATACTCTGGTATCATTGCCGATTCCCAATACAGAGCAAAAAAAGAGTAATAGCTAGTACCATTAGAACAGCTAATACAGCCATGTGAATAATACCATACATAAATACTAGGTAAAAAAGAGGTTCTCCTACTAACTATCCAGTCTATCAACCCATACATACAAACATGACCAGAATCCGTCAGTACACGAAGTGCCGTCCCATACCAAAGGCTGTCAGAGCAGAGCAGAGCAGAGCAGAGCAGAGCAGAGCAGAGCAGAGTAGAAGAGAGGTAGGAGACCATGCAGCCATAGAATAGGATAGAAGAAAAGAAAAGAATACGAAAAAAAAGACCTAAGAAACACTTTATTCCTAGCGGTAGCGTGTGAATATCCCTAAGGGTGAAAAGAAAAAGAAGCAAGCCAATCCAATCCAAGCCAACGTTACGTTAGTTTGGCAGATGATGAAATGAACATGAAAAGAAGAGAAGAAGAAAGGGGTTGTTATCGTCATCACCATCGTCATCCTGCCAGGACTCTGACGAAAAAAGTCTGAATATGAATGAGGTGGGAGTGGGGGGAAGTAGCATCAGAAAATCAACATCACGGACATCACAGTGATTCCCAAAAGGGCGAAGACAAAAAGCCAAGCTAAGCCAAGCCATACGGACAGAAAGAAAATAGTCATCATCGACAGAAAAAAAAGAAGAAGAAGTAGAGAAAAGAAAAATGTGTTCATGCGAATCTCATTAGAGCAGGATGGATGATGGAGGAGGAGGAGGAGGAGGAGGAGGAGGAGGAAGGATATAATTAGAATTAAGCAAAGCACCAAGTCATCAAGAGCCAAGAACAAAACAAAATCATTTGCTTTGCTTTACTTTGCACCCCACAATGCAAGCCAAGGTAAGACAAGCAATCGATCTATCGATCAATCCCAAGAGAAGCAACCTTCCCCGCAAATCTAGCACCCGCACTTCCACGCTTAGACAACTTCTCCTTCTCCTTCTCCGCAAAGGCCGATCCCGATCCCGAGCCCGGCCCAGACCCAGAACCAGGAGCCTGCGAAGCAACAGAAGAAGAAGAACTATCCTTACTAGCGGAGCGAATAGTAGGCAGCGAGCCGAGGGTATCGTTAGGGTTATTCGTAGTAGACAAAGACTTTCCCGGAACAGAGGGAGGAGCGGCAGCATTGACGGCGCTGAATCCCGGATTTCGCGCAACGCGTTGACTGAGATACAACTGTGCGGCCGGGGAGAGCGGGATTGATGGTGGTTGGGGAGGAATCTCCGCGCCGTTCTGAACCAGCAGTTCGGCCATGGGGAAGGGGATTGCCTTTGCGCTGGGACGGGCGGAGAGGGATGTAGGGGTAGGTGTTGGTGTTGAACCCGGTGTGGCAGGGTCTGTAGCAGCCAGAGCGAGGAATATAGCCGGCGTACTGCGTGAACGATCGGGTACGTTTACATTACCGCGTAAGGCAATTCCGTAAAGGACGCCCTGGATGTCGTTTTTCTTGACGGAGGCGAGGAGGGTCTCGTCTGGTGTTGAGAAACGGGAACGTGGGGATGGGACGCCCTCGACGTATGCTCTGTCGACATATTTGGCCGTGATGAATTTTAGGCGTTGTTCGCGGGTGGAACTTGCGATTGGTTTGAGTGATTGGTCGAGGGTTGCTTCCCAGATCATGTTGCTGACGCGATTGCCGATTTGGAGGAGGATTTCGACGATGTCGTTCGAGAAGGAGTGGACGTCTAGTGTTAGGGATCGGATCTTGGAGATATGTGTGCCGAGGGATCGGTGAATACCACTGCATTCAATGCATAGTACAATTCCCAAATTGATCGACACCCATTCGACCTTGGAGGAGGATCCACAGTCTGCACACCAGTTATTCCCCTCGTCAGCATCACGGACCGTTTGGAGCAGTCGTGCCGGGTTCTCTTCGTAGCTGTTACTGTCATGGCGAACGTAGCTCGGCCTTGCCCCGACCGTTGTACGGCGGTTGACACCACCGGCGCTGGCACTGCTGGAGCTATTTGAGTAGGAGTGATGACCAGAAACCGACGAGCTTTTCCCGGTAAGGACCGAACCGATATCACGGCCGGTAGTAGACTTCTCTGACAAAGACAGGGGAGGCGCTTGCGGCATTCCTCGTCCCTCAACGGCGCTTTGGAGCGCGTTATTGATGGATCGAATCCAAGTCGCCATATCTTCTTCCGATGTGGCCTGATAGATGCGCTTAAATTGGGGAGTGATCACTTCAAAACAGAAACGGCGCTCGGCATTACGAGCTTCCCGGACCGATGCCATTCGAAGGTCGATGGGCTCCATGTGCAGATCCAATTTCTGCTTCCAGTTACTGTATTCCGAGAGTTTGCCTTGGTCCAAGACAATCCAAAACCTGTGGGGAGAGTGTTTGTTAGTTTATGAAACAAGCTAAGCAATGCCAAGAGACTAGACTAGTACTTACTTGTGCCAGGCCTGTTTGTTGATACCCTTCGGATCCATGTGTGATCCAGGACGGGAAAGCGCCCACAACAACCCTTCTTTTCTCTGCTGACCGACACTACGATCAATCCCAGTAGCAGCAGGTTCCTCCAGATCGCGAATGCCCTTGAACCGATTTTGACCAGATCCACTCGCAGATCCAGCGCTACCAGTAGGAGCAGATATGCCAGCAGCCGAGCTAACCGATCCGGCATTAGCCTGGGACGAAACGGAGGAACTATTGCTAATAACCCCCCGGAGTTGAGAGCCGGTGCTATCAGCTCGGCCAAGCTCAGATTCATTCGAAGCAGCCCCGTTGGCGGCCGTGGTGGATGTAGCAGCCACATTTGAAGGACCGGCGATGGCATCGGGCTCAAGGTAAGGGTTACTGTTCTTTTCGAGAGCTCTGCGAAACTCCTCGCGCTCAGTCCGCTTGAACTGGAACTCCTTGTCCGCCCTATTAACCTCGTGAACTAAAGAGTCCAGTTGAGGAACCATTTCTTCAATCTTCTTGGCAGCCGCCAAGAAATTCGTAGCTTGAAAGTCTGCATATTTAGTCAGATGCGACAAGACTTCTTGTTCCTTGCGACCTCCGTGAAGATCTTGCATGAAGGAAGAGTAGTCGAAGCGCCTTAATTCGTAGTTTCGACGTTTAGCTTGATATTTCGAGTCACTCTCTGCGCGCTTTTTCTCTCCTTGAGCGAATCCTGTCGCTGGCCGAGGTACCGACTGACGTAGGCATAATAATCACGACTCTCTTCGTCAAAATCTTTCTTCTTCGCTTCCGCTTGTTTGATATCGTTAGTGTATAGCTTGACAAGAGGTTCGATGACGAGCTTTTGCAGTTGAAGAGCGTTCAACTGTTCATAATTTTGAATCTGACGCGCGATCTTTTCAAAGTAGTGGTCTAGAGCAGGTTGAATGGCGTTGGCATTAGATGTCGATGCCTCGTTCAAGGAACCCAGGAAACCCTCCATGGCCTCGTTGCAAGTCGTTTGTGCGGACTGCGCAGCCTCTGCCTTTTTCAAGACCTTCTTTATTTTTGTACGCATATTTCCTGTCTTCTGTTCCAACGCCTTCATCGTAGCTCGGAACAGGGGCCCATCTTCCACGTTCATATCTTCTCCGGCGCGAGAAGCAAGGTCGACTTTAACGGGAGGTGGGGGCGGGGGCGCAGTCGGAGGCGGCGGCATGCCTTCTGACGATTCAGGCGGGGTGATGGAAGGGAGGTTGGGGTTCGAGAAATTTTCGCTATCACTGGCCTGTGATATGACCGACTGGGTGGAAGGAATGCGCCTGCGGGGAGGAGGAACGGGCAACTCGAGGTTCGGCGACATTACGAGCGGACTAGGCAAGGGCCGAATGGAGTTATGTACCCAGAAGGAGAAATGTGCGAGAGTATTGAGGCGATTTGTCCTTGAATCGTAGTCCAAAAAGCTGCAGCTGTTCCGCCAGCCGCCACCTTTATCCTCCGTCGTCTTGGGAGGCTTCCATCTCCAGGACCAGTCGAACGAGACGGAGGGGGTACCATCGGTCGAGAAATCACCAATCAGTTGGACGTTGGAGTTATTTTGAAGGTTCGGGTTTGCGTGGAATTCCCGCGTGATTAGGTTGTCTAGTTCCTTGGAGTTTGACGCGTGGGCGAAGGTGAGCCCAGTGAGGTTGGTGTTGGCTACCTCAGGGAGCGAGGTCGCAACACCATTGACGGTGGATCCCGCGATATTACCGGTCGCTGTTTGTCGGAGGATGAAGGTGAAATTAAAGATGAGTTCCTCATCGTTTGAAAGGCGGAGCAAGAAGGTCGGGATCGCAGCAGACGGAGGGACATCGGGGTCCTGTGTTGTTGATCAGTTAGTCCACAGTCCACGGATGCCGGTATAATCGGCGGTCGCACGGTGATACCTACCTGAATATATTCAATAGGAGTGTCGTCGCTTGGGTCTCGCTTCGCTATATATCTGACCGCAGGGAACGCGTTTGGGGAGAGGGTTAACAGAGGGCGTCGGGAGTTGCTGATGGTGACCGATGCGATCGAGACTATGGCCGATTTTGTTAGTATGGGGGGAGGAGCCGAGTGTAAAACGAGCGCGGGGTCTGCATGTCTGCAAGTACTAGACATACATCGATTCTGGTCCTTGAAGAACAAGTTTCCGGCATCGTCGAGGCGACTGGCGACATTGCCCATGATGGCGCAGACGAGGAATCAAGTCACGGCGCGAGGAGGAGATGGGGTCAACGCCAAGTCAATCGGCCATCGATAGAAGGGTACGGAGTCAGATGGCCCTAGGGAATGAGGAAGCGAACAAGGAGAGAAATCCGTCATTCAGTCGTGGAAGGGTGAATGTTGAATGTGTTTTGAGCGTGGGAGGAGGAGGAGGAGGAGGGGGCGGAGGGCGGAAGGTGGAAAAGGTGGAGGGAGAAGGTGGAGTCGAAGGGAACTTGAGAAGCTTGGGATGAACAGTGGAGTAGGTGTATATTGGTTTGGTTTCACTTTATTGTTTGAGAGTACGAGTACTGTGTAAATATTGATAATTTATGTTATTATGGAAAGTCCTCTCCTTTTATTTCCTACCCTGCCCCGTGCTATTACTACGAGTACCTCTCTGCTATTCACTCGAGGGGCGGAGCAACGTCTTTGTTTCAGCCTCCATGCGCCTCTCCTAAAGGCGCCAACATTCCATTCTCATACTTATGAGTCAAGTGTCAAATGCCCTAGACTGGAATGGTCAGGTCAGAGGACACTGAGACACTATCACACTAGCATACTGTGGCTGTGGCAATACTATGCCGTATAGTCTTATGCTCATGGTTTGATCTCTATACCATTAAACTAACTAAGAATAACGATTATGCTGCATATTGCTATGATACACCAAGACCCGCGTGAACGTGAATCATGAACGTGAACGTCGTGACATTCCCCTCAGTTCCGGACCGAGGGAAAGAGAGAAAAAGAGAGAAATATCAAGAATGCGAATGCAAAAAGCATAAAATCCATAGCTTTTGCTAGCCATGAACTAGACTAGACAGCCTGTCCAGTCCCAACTCCAGCTCCAACTCCAGCTCCAACTCCAGCTCCAACTCCAGCTCCAACTCCAGCTCCAACTCCAGCTCCAACTCCAGCTCCAACTCCAGCTCCAGCAATAGCCGGACTCGGAGTCGAAGATCCATTAATCTGACCAGTCGAAAACGCCCGTTCACGACCGTCCACATGCTGACCCTTCCCACGCGCCTTCGCCTTCGACTTATCCGCATGACCATCCGCCTCAACCCACCGCATCATCTGCCCCTTAACATCACGCATCTCATGAACTTTGCGCGAAAGATCCTTCTTCTTCTTAGCACTCGAAGGCTCAGCAGTGCGTTCATTAAGCTCATCTTCATCCGAGCTCGAAATCGACAACGAAGAAGCAGAGCTCTGCTGGAGATACGTAATAAGATGACCATGCTCTTTTTTGAAATTCCTCTGTTCATCCTTCATCTCGCCCATCAACTCAGCATCCTCCTGACAATCCAACGTCGTAATATGAAGACCCGGGAAATTACCCGCTAGCCATTTCTTCAGATCTGGCAACATTGCCGAGTTCGGTCTGTATGTTCCACTATCGTTATCGATGAATAACTCATAGTCGTCCGGATCGGTCGAAATATCTTGCGACATCGAGACATTCTCGTGGTCGTGGTCGGCATGGTCATCATTTTCCTCGTCAACGGCAATACCACCCTCAACACGGGGTGACTGTGAACGAGACTGCGATCGAGATCGGTGTCGATTGCGACGAACGCGTCGCCGAATGAAAAATTCACCCGAGTACGCGATGTAAATCGATACATCACTATGCATCGTGTGTTTGCTCAACATATCGACGCCAAACTCCTTGCCCGTCTCAGTGAAGCGTAGTTGTCCGTCCAGCGTGATCACGTAGGTAAAGATTCGTCCGCCCTGGCCGTAGCTCACGAATTCCAGGAACTTTTGCGTGAATTCAAGGCAGGGTTCTGGGAATACGCCGTGGAGGGTTGATCGGTCGAAATTGTAGATTCGTTGGTGTTGGTGGTGGAGGGCTTTGTGGAGGATTCTTCCTCGGAGACTTTGCGCTTGAAACATGCCTGCTATGAAGGGTCTGAATTCGACGTAGCGGTGGTAGAGTCCTGAAGGGACGGGGCCGGAAAGTTGCATTTGAATGGCTTGGAAGCTAGATTGTCGAAATGTTAGCAAAAGGTAGAAGGAATATCAGCGATGCAGTGCAGCGCAGTGCAATGCGACGCGATGCGACATACTTGTATCGGCTAATAGCCTTCCCACTCCCATCCGTCGTCTCAACCCGATCCTTCGTCCCAGCCAACCGCCCATAAGAGGAGAAAAGTGCTTAAACCAATGATTAGGACCAGCAGTATACATCTGACCCCCCTCCGTACCAGGCGTCCGTCCAAGACACTCAACACTCGCAATCAAGAACGATTCCTTATGATGACCCGTCGCAAAGGCCGAAACATTGGTAAACACATAAACGCGCTTACTACCAAACCTCTTCTTAATCTTAAACGGCTGCTCCTTAAACCCCTTCCAATCCTCCGACAATCGTCCAACATCAATAAAAGCGATTCCTAGTTTATCGTCGTGATCCGCGGGATCCTCGTCCATGACATAGGCTTTCAGTTGGAAACCTGACGCGGGCACGTTCGCGACAATCCATTCGCATTCCCATACTGGATTCATGTCCTTGCGTATTGTCGGCGTGCGAAATCGAATCGGCGTATCTTGCTTATGGCGTCGGGGTAGGTCGACGGAGAGTTGCGCAAAGACATACGGGTCGGAGGAGAAACTGCCAAAGTCGGCAACCGGAAGGTCAATACCGCGGTGGAAGGTGAATTTGAGCGTATACCCCGCGGGGCGGAGGGGATAGGAGTCGCATCGAAGCCTCCGGCAGGTTGGTGGGGATCTTCCTTCATGCTGAGGCGATTTTGGAGCTTGTCGGCTTTTTCGACCAGTTTGGGCGCATAGTGGTCGACCTTTTGCGCCATGGTGAAGGTGAGGGGGAGGAGGGGGGAGGAGGGGGAGTAGTTAAGTTAAGTTAGGTCAGGTCAGGTCAGGTCAAGGATAAACGTGGGTCGGGACAGTCTCATGGTCTGATAATAATAGGAACGATATAAGCGGGTCGAGGGAGAAGAGAAGGAAAGGAAATAGCATCGCAGATGCGCATTGGGGGTGATGGACAATCAGGGGACCTAAAGGTGGGGCAATTTGTAGCGACGAACCAAGCTTCAGCCTTACCCACGGGTATTACAGTACCAAAGGTAGGCAACAGCATAAACCGCGGCTGCCAAGGCATGAGATCATCCTTGGAGTTTGATTATGGGCCGATCTATGTAGTAGTACGTACATGTAGACCAGCGTGCCACTGGTTGGCTTGTCGATCAATATCTTGCTAAAGATGGTGAAACAGAGAATCAATGGTCCGTCTTCGTAGAATGGTAACTACCGTGCGAAATGTGCGTAATTGAATATCCGCAAGGTTAGTGGATACGAGTATCCGAGGCTCAGGGTAACCACGGAAAGGATATGACAATATCAAAGATGCATACTATACGACAACTCAAGAACTTGTGAAGAGAAATACAATACTATCCATTAAAGAAAGGCACATCAAGGGGCTTGAATGTAAAATTAAAACATACAGTCTTTTCGTGAGGTCATCTCGCGCTAAAAGAGACACAGGGACGCGTTTCCCGTTTCGGCAAAAGATGTTTGGTGACGTCGGGCTAACCACGAGGCGGTGGAAGTGGAGAACGAGAGATTGACGACGGTGGCGTACCTGGGAAATTGACATCCCGGAATTTATTATTTTTATCATTCAAACCGGTAGTGAAATTGGTATGAACCATAGGGCTGAACATAAGGCTGAACATAGGGCTGAAGAAGTAATAGTAAATTGGTAAGAATTGCTGGTAGGTATGGTAGGTAAATTGGCTATCTAACTTCTTTGACACTTGGGAAGAAACATCATGGAAAAGCAATAATAGAGCGAGAAATAATACAGGGTCATTTTCGTGAGGTCATATCGAGCTGCCAACATAGCAAAACTTCGGGTGTCAAAACCCGTGTGCGCAGTGCACAGCCAAGGCGAACGGAGGTGGATACTTTTTGGGCGTAGTAACATCGTCCGATCCCGATCTCTTCGTAGTTGAAAGGTCTAAGAGCCACGGAACAGGAACTGCATATCCTCCGGGGTCAGTTTCTCCAAAGCAGCAGCCTGGTCCTTGTTAATGGTTCCTCGGATCAGGTTCGCTTTCTTTTCCTGCAGCTGCACAATTCGAGATTCGACTGAATCTTCGATTGTCAATCTGGTGATCACGCACGGTCTCTGCTGGCCGATGCGATGACTCCGATCGGCACTCTGCCACTCTGCCGCTGGATTCCACCAGGGGTCCACAATGAAGACACGAGACGCCTCAGTCAAGTTCAGGGCGACACCGCCAGCCTTTAGCGAGACTAAGAACACTTCCACGTCGGCATTGGTCATGAAATGGTTGATCGAATTTTGTCGCTGCGCGGGAGTCATCGTACCGTCCAGCATGACCGTGTTGAATCCTGCATGACGCAGACGCCACTCCACAAGCTGAAGCATTGACGTGAACTGAGAGAAGATGATCGACTTTGGGGTATGGCTCTTGCTTCTCTGTTTGTACAGTTCGTAGAGGAGGGTTTCGATTTTTGTTGACGATGTCCAATTTTCCATGGAGATTCGGTTGATAATAGACGTCTTCTTGATACTCTCTGCCTCCTGTTCCTTTGTTGGCTGTTCCAAATCAATTGACAGAGCGATGTGGCATCGAGGACATTCTGCAGTATCTTTCGAGTCAAAGGACTCGATGTAGTCCGTAACACATCGCCGGCAGAAATCATGGCGGCAGCGAGATTGAATTGCATCCTCTGCCGGTTCATCACAGATGGTACACACGAGCACATTGTGGCCAGGTTGGGTCTGTTTCTTTAAGATGAGATCAGGGTGATTAGCCACTTGACGCATCTGCATAATCAGACCAAAAATGTTGGCATAGTTGTTCAGCATAACACCTCGGCTCACGTAAGTATCAAATTGACGACCTGTGTTCGTCATGATACTACGAGAAAAGTCATGCTCGATCTCCCCGAAGAATTCGTTGTGGATGGTAATTCGTTTCGGTGGGAGTTCCATTGAGGAGGTATGTTCCTCCTTCAGTCGTCGAAGCATGATATGGTCTGTGATAAGGCGGAGTTTCGCCAAACCTTCCTTGCGCTCGTTCTGAGTTCGGCCTTCCGTGATTGGATTTAAGATCTCCTTGTTGAAGACGGAAATGTGGTTGAAACCTGTGTGACGGCATTGTGTACAACGCCCCTGCTTGTCCGCCATCCACTGGAGTTCCTCACAGGGACATTGTTTGCAGAAGTAGCTAGCAAACGGTCGAACTTGCAAGAACCGGAGCAGAGAGAAGAACTCGCCAATTCGATTCTGCACTGGGGTACCCGAAAGACACCATTTAAAGTTGGCCTTCAAGGCAAAGCAAGCCTTAGCGACACCCGTGGTACGTTGCTTGATGCTATGAGCTTCATCGAGGATGAGTCGGTGGTAGTGGATGCAGTGTATGACGCTGTCTGCTTTGACCGTATTCCCTCCACGAGACCAGCCTTTCTCTTGCTTGCGATGCATAGACTCCAAGCTCGAATAGGAAATCATAATCACATCGTATTTTCGAAGATCCGCCTCGGTGAGCTTCTTCACCTTCGAGTCTGAGCCATGATAAACGAGAACTTTCAGTTTTCCATCAGTGTATTCCTAGGTAAAGGGTCAGTCACCAATCGTACGTATTTCCAGGGAGGGGAGTACAAACCTGAATTTCCTTCTGCCATTGCATCAAAGCAACGGGTGGAACAATAACAAGTGTCGGGTCGGGCTGTGGGAAATCGGACATGATAAGAGACACGGCTTGGATGGTCTTTCCCATGCCCATCTCGTCACCTAGCAAGCCACCTCGGTATGACGATTTTTCTTGCTCAATCATCCAGCTTAGGCCCTCCAGCTGGAAGGGCTTTAACTTTCGAGTAATGGATGCCGGCTGCTGAGCGGGTGCTGGGGTGAGAATGGGTTGGGCTTTGAGCTCATCCCACATGGTGTCTACGACAGGGTGCTTTGAGACCAACTTTTTCCGCTCTTTTGCCGCGCGCCCGGCTTTGCGCATCTCGTCCCAACTCATTGGAATCTCATCGGGATCAATCTCGGCATCTTCCGATTCGTAATGACTCCCGCTGAAGTCAAGTTCCTCTGCATTGGGATGAGACGAATGTTGATGAGGCGCAGAGGGACCGGACGAAACCCGATTTAAGGCCCCGCTGACCTCCGCAGCAGCTTCGGCCCTAACACTTTCCAAATACTCATCTCCCTCTTCTGAATCCCAATAATCCCCATCATCAGATATTAATGACGGCGGGTGCGATCCCTCGTCGGAGGTCAAAAGCCCATCCGAAAAATCCTCTGCTGAGTCCGAAACCTCATGCTCTTCTTGAAAACGTTGTAGCTTCGAATTCCAGGCGTGTTGGTTTGATACCTTTTGCTTTTTTCGAGCCGCTGCCATGTACGCGTATTCTTCCTGCTGGAGTGCCTCGGCCAAAGCCGCATCGTCCCGAGTGTAGGCGGCTGACATGGCAGATGCTGATCTTTTGGTACCACGTTTCGGGGCCTGCTGAACTCTACCTCTGGCATTGCCAGCGATTCGTTGGATCTCCTTTCGGGCCTTGGGTGCCGTTCTCGACCTTTTCGCATCTGACTCTACGCCAGTGCTAACACTGGTTGCCGGTGTGTTTGTACCGGGAGTGCCGCTGAGCGAACTCTGCGCGGTGTCACTAGGCGAGTTGCTCTTTTTTCCGGGGACGACGACTTCGATCTTGGCTGCTGCCCGTCGTCTTGTCATTCTCGGAGTAATCGACTTGATCGGGTCTTCTCCTTCAGATTCCTTAGTATTGCGGTGGGTCCGGGATCGGTACGCAGTGACCCGCCCTTTTGTCGAGACCCCGATCGACCGAGGGGTGAAGAACCCCTTGGTGACGTCTCGCTGAACGGCGCGTCATCCTCCGAATCAGGGATAATCTTCGCCTGAGATCGTCTTCTCATTTTGTAAAGCGGATGCGGCCGAGTGAGAGGGAGTGGACTCGAACGAGGAGAGAATTGAGGGAGCGATCGGAGGGGGACAAAGAGCGTAGAGTCGATTGAAACTAATTCTGGAGAGAAATCAGCTTAGATCTCTCGACTGGAGAAGAAAGCGGGCCTTTGATCGAAGGGTAAAAGAGGAGGGGGAGGGGAGGATTCGTACTCAAGTCCAATCGGGGAGGATGAGGCTCTGTCCCAAACACGCGGGATTTCACGCGACAATTTGGTGATGAATCAAAGGTAACTCGAAACCGCCGAATCAAATGATGAATTGAAAAGGAAACAAAGGGGCTAAGAACAAGCGAGTGTAGGTTGAGGGAGCGTGAAAGAAAAGGGGGGGAGAGAAGGAAGGTGGTTTGGATGAGAAGAAAGAGTTGAGAGAGATGACTGGCAGGCAGATGGGAGTGAGAGTGGTGAGTGCCTGGACCAGAACCAAGAAACTCAGGAAAACTCTTCACTCTTCCTTCACTCGGGCGAATATCCGATTTTGCGAAGGTGGTCACCATTGGACTCTTTCTAATCCAATACTTTCCCTTCCATTCCATTCGACTCCTTGAAATGAGATGATCGATCGGTGATCGGTGATCATAGGAATTCCCACTGTCGTCACTTATCGCATTGCATCGTCGATAAGGCAAGAGCGCGTTAAGTGCAACGCGAAACTGCCGCGAAATCCCCGACATTCGCCACTTCCACCCTTCCTCCCCTTTAATACTCCTTCAACACACCTTGAGGCACCTCTTGTCTTCGGTAACCATGTGAGTACTCGGTTCGTACTTTGCTCTACACAATCTGGCTAATTTTCCTGTCTTCTTCGCAGGGCCGATCGACGCGCAAACAGAAACAGAAACATCCGGGGCCCGTATGCTTACTCCTTCTTTGATAACATCGGGGCAAACTCACTAACATAATATCGATAGACAGTCCGCCCTCACTGACTTTCTTGCTGTATGTCTAACACCTGAACCTCTATCCTTTTACCGATTCATTGACAACCATGAGAACTGACAAACTGTGACCTTCTAGTCTAACAACATCTCCGCGGCCCAAATCCGCGATGACTACGACCGCCGAGTAACCGAAGCAGCGCGTCAGGCCAATGAAGAAACGACTACAGCGACTGCAGAGAATCAAGATCCTGAATTTGAACCCGAGCCAGAGCCGGAATCTCCAGAGGATAAAGCAAAGAAACGCAAACGTCAACAAGCAATCGAGAGGATCAAGAAAACCAAGGAATTTTCTCGTCGCAAGGCTCGAAGAACCGGAGAGCCTGATGATGATGATGACGATTGGCTAGCTAACCAGATTGCCGATGAGAAGGCGCGTCCAGCCCCTGGCCAGTTGGAGAATTGCGAGATATGCGGCAAACGCTTCACGGTTACGCCATATAGCAAGGCGGGTCCCGAAGGGGGTCTTCTCTGTGCAGATTGCTCGAAGAATCAGGCCAAAGGCGATGGCAAGAAGGCACCTCCGAAGAAACGAGCTGCTGGGCCCGGCCGGCGCCAAAACCAGAGCAAACTTCTTGATGGATTGACTGCCCATGGCGCCCAAAGTCTCCTCGAGATGTGTATCAAGAAAGTTGCCGAGAACATCGAGGACGTGGAAGAGTTTGGTGACTTGCCTCCTCCTGTGATGCACCGTCTAAGCCAAATCTTATCTCGGAGGCGAGCGGTCACTTCGAGGATTTTGAATCTGTTTCTTCGTCGAAATCACAGGGAACTCAACATCTATGACTGTGCCCATCTTCACACGGACGATTATCATAGGATCCTTGCACTGATGCCTGACTTGACCAAACTCAATCTCCGATTCGTCACACCAATGAAGGATCACATATTCGAATACATGATAGAGAACAACAAGAGCATTCGAGATCTACACCTCGATTCTCCGAATCTAGTGACCGATGATTGTTGGCGCGAGGTGTTTGTCAAAATGGGACCACGCCTCCAGAGCCTAAAGCTCTGGAATCTCGATGCAGCCTTTGATGACAAAACTGCCGAGGTCATGTGTGAGAATTGTACTGGACTCGAGCGTTTAAAACTGAAATACATTGCGAAAATCGGTGATGGGGCTTTGAAGGGAATCGCATCTCTCAAAACACTGAAGCACCTCTCGCTATGTTTCATGCAAGAAACTGAGCCTGAACCCCTTCTTCACGTCATTTCCTCGATCGGCCCCAATCTTCGCTCTCTGTCACTGGAAGATTTCAAGAATGCCGACGATCCTCTGATCCAGTCCATTCATGATAACTGTCACAGTCTAACAAAATTACGATTCGCTAAGAATGACCTCTGCACCGATAAGGCTTTGGCCTCCCTTTTCCAGAACTGGTCCAACCCACCCTTAACATATGTGGATCTCCACAGAGTCCGAGACGTTGACATGTCAAATCCCGCTGGCCCTCCCGAGCCAGTCGGGCTGGCGTCAGATGGATTCATCGCCCTGATGGAGCACTCTGGATCCAGAATCCAGTCATTAAATGTCTCGTCATGTCGCCACATATCGCGTGAAGCCTACGAGACAGTCTTCGCCGAGAACAAGCAATACCCACATCTTAGACATCTTGACATTTCCTTCAATGGCCCGGTGGATGACTATATTGCCCAGTGCATTCTACGCTGCTGTCCGGCTCTTACGAAATTCGTTGTCTTCGCCTGCTTCAAGATTCGAGAGTTGAAGGTGAATAAGGGTGTTGCTGTGATCGGAACTATCGGCGCGAAGCTCACTGTCGAGGGCATCGTACAAGCGGAGACTATGTGATCGGGGGTTCTGGGTCTCTTACTGTTGTCTTGATGGTTATCGTCATATAACAAGGATAAGCCTTTTTGAGGCATTTCATTATGTCAGATACGCCACCGTTGTCCATTTCTTAATCCGTCACTCTCGTGGTCGGCCCGATATCACTGAATCTCTTTAACTTAAGCGGAAAATACGTACTTGGCATGGTACGACCTTACGAAAATGAGCCATTATCTTACATGTATTATCATCTTGAATCGATTGCTTTTTCCACAGTTGTTTTTCCAATTACCTGAGCCCGCAAAGTCATTTTGCAGATCATCATTCATTTGGTCTTAACTAAAAATACAATAAATCACAATCAAACTCCAAAACCGCATGCTTTATACGCATATAATCAATTATAAAAAAACAACTCATAAACCCCCCTAATGAGCCATCCGCTTCCCAATCTCACTCTGCCAATTCCGCGACTTCTCAAATCCATTCGCCGCACTCTGAAAATCAACCATAGCCTGATAAACCTCTTCCTGACTATTCAGCACAAAAGGACCATACTGAACAACCTTCTGATCAAGCGGCTGACCAGAAACAATAATAAACCTCGCCCCAGCCTCCGCATTATCAGGAACAGAAGCCTCCACAAAATCCCCTTCCTGCTCAAAAACAACATTATGAAACTGCTTCACATGCTGCGTAGAATCACTCGATCCGAAAACCGCATCCCCCTCCAAAGTATAAGCAAACGTATTCCACCCCTTCGGCAAAGGCTGCGAAATCCGTCCACCTGGCCGAATAGTCACATCAAGTAACCAAACAGGCGTGTATGCCAAATCCCGAACTGAATCAATACCATGCGATTGGCCCGAAATAACCTTAACAGTAACACGACCCTCGTCAAGCTGCGCAACGGGAATTTCAGAACTGCGCAGATCCCGATACCGAGGCTCGCACATCTTAAGTTCCTTGGGTAAATCGACCCAAAGCTGCATGCCGACATTCGGACTACCGTCTTCGTTCTCGTGTGGCATTTCCGCGTGCATGATTCCTCGACCTGCTGTCATGAATTGTAGATCGCCCGGTCCGATGGTGCCTTTGTTACCGGCGAAATCTTCATGATCGACGCCGCCGGATAGGAGGTAAGTGATTGTTTCCTGGCCGCGGTGCGGGTGGTCGGGAAAACCGGCGCCCTTTCCGATGGTGAAGTGGTCCAGCATTAGGAAGGGGCTGAAGTTGCGCAACTTCGGGGTTCCGATTGAGCGGCGGACTCGGGCGCCTGCTCCTTCGGCTTGCTCGATGGCAAGGAAGACTTGGCGGATGGCGCGGGCTGTGGACATATTTGTGATTGGGGGGGATGATTGGGGATGGGTAATTTAATTCCACTGGTAAGTTTGTTTTAGAGGTTTGTGAAGAATTGGTGGTAAAAAGCTGCGACAGGCTTGTTGGTGCGCGCTGTTGTAGAAAGCTTATCAAGGAGTCCTGGATTGAACTTGAAGGACGATATGTAAAGAGGATTGCGGTGATGCAAATTAGAAAAGGCAGAAGTAGCTTCATGAATGAGATGGCGGCCTTTTATAGATTTTTGGGAGCTGGGCTCTCGAAGTTTCGAATGTAACTGTTAAGAATCAAAAGATTGAACTAGAATTGTTAAAGTCAGCGGTTAGTCAAGCTTCATAAATACTGATCCATCTCCGCAAACGACAAAGCACTTGTCAGGAATCAGTCAGCGGTGGCATTGGCGAATCATCCTGCGCCATGGCAGCCATTACGAAGCTGACCAAAATCAGTGTCATCATTGCGCTAAACTGGATCAGGTTAGTGTTTGTGCTATATATCCGAGGTGCGGATATAAAGCTATGTCATCTAATCACGTGCTGTAGTGATCACGTGTATAGCTATTGGCGAGTATGAAATGTAACCTCTGAGCAGCAAGTAAATACTAATATTATTGAAATTGTAGTTACGTCAAGGGTCACGGATATGGGCATATTCGGGTTATTCTAGTATTTTGAAGTTTGGTTAGGGTCCATACAGTACTAGTAGACACTCTAAGTCCATATTTTTCAAAGGACCCCCTGATGCTCTGGCTAACCTATAATATGTCTTTTTCCTTACTATATTTAGTATGTATTCTCTAGTATGTATTTACTTAATTCAAGTTACTTAATCCATAGACTTTATCTTGCTAGTGGTTTGTCATAACCTTGCACTTGGGCACTCTCATCCCTCAATTCATAGATGGCCTCATCGCGAAGCTGGATATCTTCTTTCTACCGTAAACCTTCGTCCTGGCAACGTTGGAAAAATTCGAAAGTGAGGTGCTCGTGGCCGTGTTCAGAGGTATGACTGGTTCCGATGTTGGAACTAACACTCTCAAGGTATCTGTTTTGGACATGGTTGATGGCACAATTTTTTTGATCTCTTATAAAATCAACACAGTAGTTTTCGAAAATAGTTGTGAATTCACATTTGTCCGACTTTCCCGGAAAATTGACCCATGGTGTACTATAATCTACATCAGGACACAGCCTTTTCAACTTTGGCAGACTTATGATAAAAAGCATGCGTTGTACGGATTAAAAAGTATGCTAAGTAACTAACCAGGTAACTAACCAAAACAGAACATGCTGATCTATTGCGGTGAGCAACACAGACAAGTAGCTGTAAAAGATTTGGTTAGCGTTATATGTAGTGTTACTTGATGCTGGCCGTGCAAACTTTGTTTTACATCGAAGTGGGCGGAGCGCCTGCAGATGTGACCTGCAAAAAAGGGAAACACTGCATATCAATTCGACAGTCTAAGCATAAGCCGTCAAATAAGAGCATACAATTGTGACGCATGAAGTTTTCTTGAGCTTAGGAGGTGGAACAAAGTCGGTGTTTGGCTCTTTTGCTTTATTGGTGATGCAAAATGACAAATTCAAAAGGGCTCTTGTCTTTCGTGAGTATTCTTAATTGGCCTTTGATACAAGTACATGCATACAAAGAGTCGGTGTAGCACCTGATACTTTAAGATAACTTATAGCGACTCAATATTGATCTTATGGTTCTGCAGCGCCACATCACGCAATGAATGCTAAATTTTTGGTGCGTTACATTCATGTCCTACTTTGTTTATTGCTTTTGCCACACGATTTAATTGATTTGATTTAACAATTAACCCTGTGAACTGCTTTCTGTAGGAGTGGCGGATATCTATAGACATGAAGGGGCTTTCCTTAATTTCTTTGGTCCCAGAAAAACTGTTTTGAACCCTGCTTTCTCTGAACTGAGTTAAAATGAACTCAACTGGAATAGAAATGGCCTCTCAGGAGGAGAAACTAAATTATCCTTCTAATGATGACTCCGGATCGTCAATTCTACCTCTCACAGGTCATATATCCAATATATCACAGAACAAAAATCCGTCGCTGGGCAAAGCTGATGATAAGGTTGTCTACATACCTGATTTGTTTTCCTCTATCATGGCCGTTCAGCCCGATGTGAACATTAACTACGAAAAGGCTAGATTCAAGGGGGATGAATGGATCAAACAGTCTGCTAGCTCCCTCTCCTTTCTTTTCCATGCCAAATCCGCTGGACAAAACTCACACATCGATGATTTGCATTTACAGAAATGTTATCTAATTTGGAAGCTAGGCTCCTTCAACCGGATAATAGATGGTTCGAGAAATGGAAGAGCACCGATTTCCCGTGGATGTGCGCGATATGGACGCCTTACTGTGACGAGGACAGTCTTCAGATGATAGTAGACTGGAATAGCTGGGTCAGTCTCCTATCCTCTTTTTATTTATTCAACTCGGGCTTGTTAACATTATATATTAGGTCTTTATATTTGATGACCGTGGGTAGATCAGTAGCGCCGATAGCTCTCATTGGCTAATATTCGATGAACATATCAAGAATTTGATGAAGGAGAGATAGGCAAAAGCCTGAGTGCAGCACAGGAAGAAATAAACAGAACTCTTGCTATCCTTGATGGCACACGGCCACCATTCTCCGCCAAAGAAGACCCGTGTGGGTTCATACTTCGAGATGTATGGGATCGGGTCAAGAAGGTATATGCTTTCTTGAGCCCGGAAAGTTTCAAAATGTATCGGCTAACTTTTTCTTATCAGCGCTCGTCTTACGGTAAGCTCACAATGAAGCGTTAGAATTTCTAAACTGTGATTAAATGTAGCTTCCAATTCCCATTAGGCACGCAGAAGCGGCTGAGGGATGCACACTATAGCTACTTCCAGGGAGTTCTTAAACAGACCCAGGACGCATTCTATCAGCGTGAATTCATGCGAGATACTCTAGAGTATATCGAAATGCGGAGAGATACGATTGGTGTTTACCCAGCTCTTGTTATTTGTGAGTAAGTATTTTGAGAATATCTTGATTATGAATTGGCAGTAGATGTTGATTTCCACCTAGGGTTGCGGAAAACGTCAATGTTCCTCTCCATATAGTGAACCATCCGCTGTTGGTGGAGCTAAGTTCCATCTGCGCAGATATATTGGGGCTGTAAGTATTTTTATATAGCACTGATAGCAGAACTATAATTTCTGATACCTGTTTAGTGTGAACGACGTGATGTCATATAAAAAGGAGCTAGTGAGTGGAAATTTAGCCACCATCTATTCACACTAATAGTTTGACCAGGCACGAGATGAGAAAAACGGCTTGATACCACTTCTAAAAGACCAGGGGCTTTCTACGCAACAAGCTATGGATAAAATCGGGGAGATTCTGATTGGTCGTTACAAACGATGGTATAATGTTCTGGCTGATTTGCCAGTCTGGGGAGAAGATGTTGATCGAGAGGTACTGAAATATATCGATATGCGCCTCTATATGGCTCTTGGGAACCTTCATTGGAAGTAAGCATGCTGGACTGAATATATTGATAATGATCGCACTGCTTAAATTATTTCAATAGTTTTAGAACAAGCCGCTACCTGGGAGAGTGCGGGATGGAAGTTCGGCGAAGTCGGGTGTTGGACCTAAGTTTGGGTTGATTCCTGTTTTCTCTTTTAGCACTAGTCAGGACCGTCTTTTGACCTAAGAGCGCCCGAAAATTCAATAGACATTTCCGGCATACAGCATGGATAGAAATTAGTTTCACTACATTTATTGTCTCTGATTCTTTAAAAGTCTAAGCTAGACCCATTTGCATATTTATTTGGACTAGCCCGTCTTAAAAAAAAAAGAAAAACCAGGTTGTTACGTTGGGTCTTTTGGAATCTATCTAACCGTGCCCTAAATAGGAATGGTTCTGGTTTTTTGGGCGACCCAAGAGAAGCAGGTTCGTTTTAGGACGCGGAGGCTAGCCACTGGGCTACCTATTCGAGATTTCCAGAAATGACTTCTAGTTCATCATCTTTACAATCCTCACCTATACGAAATTTGCAGACAATACCCATTCGATCTTTATTGGTATAATATCTACTACTATCCTCTTAAGCAATCAAAAAGCCAGATTATGGGCGACAAAATTAAGGATTTGCAAGAGGTCCCTCTCGCAAAGGCCGGAAAAATCAATACCCTTCAATGGAAGCGTTGGTTTTACTGGCAAGACCAGTCATGGGAACTACGAAAGCATGTTGATATTGAGGGCTTACTTAAGATGGAAGTCATACTCCGGGAGCTTGCTCAGCGTGAAATTGTTTTGAGGGCGAATTCCATGGCCTTGCAAAACAACCCTGGGAAAGATACAAAAAATTGCGCGGCTGAAATCAAGAATATTGAAGAGGAAATGGTGTTGCTTGACCAAGAATCCTGGTTTGCGGAACGTTCATGGTGGTCCAAAAGAGCCAGTTTCTATGAAGCGCCCTTCTCTCGCGGGATAGATTTATGGCGCTCACACCCTTCCTGGTATATGCATCCTATACTTCGTCAAGACTGTGCCGAGAGAGGAGGATGCTGTGGAAGAGCTTGTAATTGTTGTTTCCGTCGTCAGGGTTTGCTACCACATCGAAAGTTTGAGGGAGGGGGGCATTGCACAGTGTACTGCGACTGCTGTGAGAAGGCTCGTGGATTTAAATTCACCTCCGATGACATAGCGGATATTGAAAACTTATTCGACCTTTCCCGCTCTGGATATTTTACACGAATTTGCCTTGCTTCTTTACTTGGGTTTATTCAAGACAATTTGGACGACAATCCGTTTGATCTTATTGAGAATCTGCCACCGCAGTATACGCCTGCTACGAAATCACCTAATGTATCAAAAACGGATTCACAGGGGCTAAACTCACCCGAAATTGATTTGCTGAATTAGGGATAATAGGGAGCAATGGAAGTTTTGCAATTTAGCAAGCAATTGTTAGCTTAGCCGGATTTGATATGAACTTGCTGTTCCAATGTCCCAAGGTTTCAATGGTAAAAAAAAGAACCTTGGAAGAAAGGAGACCGGTAGCTAGTTATCGATACTATTGAACCAAAAATACATATATTTGGTATTATTAATATAGACTTCAGTGATAGAATCGTACTGGCACCTTTAAGTTGCCCAGAATGAAGCTACTAGTAGCTACTAGTAGTTCCGAGTAGGCAAAAATTTTCAATAGAGATAGAATTATCTATTCAGCTCTCCGTGATTCTGTAAACTACCCAAGACCATGGGATGGTCGTTGTTATTAAATGGGGAGCAGCTGTCGGAGTATATACGGTTCCCATCCCATAGCGGGGATCGGCGGACTATCAGATAAGGCCACGGAGCAGCTCCCCGTCCCCGTTTGCCCGCTCCGCCTAATTACACCAACGCGCTGGAACGCTACCTACTGCGTAGATCTCAACCACTGTGGCTCCGTTCTGCTACCTGAGATACAAATCTACTCCATATGAATCACTGACCCCTTCGCGCTCGACATATCTGTGACCTCCCGGCGGGGAAACGCCCAGAGACCCGCTCGACCCATTCCCCAACCTCCAAGCTCTCGACTTCTCCCCCATACAGCAACACCGGATATCAGACATGGGTCGATCAAGGCATAGCCTCGCACCATGGCTGACGTTTGCTTGCGTTGCATCCGGTGCCTGGGCCGCCAAGAGGCCATTCAACATCCACGATGACCTCCTGGCCTATCCGCAGGTAGCTTTCCAGCCCCGGATAGCGATAGCGATGTCGTTCTTTGAAAAAGCACTTGCGCTAACCAAATCATTGTCTGTAGTACCAAGTGGTTTTCCCTGACGAATATATCCTCGATTCAACAGCCGAAGAACTACTCCAAGCACAAGCCAATGCTGCAGACGACGCATCCAGCTACGATCAGAACAACCCTCAAGTATACATCAATAAGGCGCATACGGGAGACGCAACACACGAGGCCGGAGACGGAACTTCCCCATCCTACGCCTACGAAGAAATGATAATGGATGACCGGCGCCTCCTTTGCCAGATTCCGCACGTCGCCCTAGACGACCTCAATACGACGGCAAACAACCAGGCAAATGAGGCGGAGCAGCAGAAAGAATTAGCCCGCGCAACGGACCGAGGTCTTGAACTTCTGCGCGAAATGGAGGGAAAATGCATGTACTATTTCTCTGGCTGGTGGTCATATTCGTTCTGTTATCGGAAACAGATTAAGCAGTTTCACGCACTTCCCGCCGGCCGCAATGTTCCCCAGTATCCGCCAATGGAGGACCCTACAACGCATTCCTTCATTCTGGGTCAATTCCCGGCTCATATGAAGGAAAATAGCAGGGAGGAAGATCAGAAGCAACAGCAGCAAAGCTCACAGACGGAAGTGGCAGAGCTACATACTAAAGGTGGTTCGCGCTATCTCGTGCAACATCTACGGGGTGGCACGACGTGTGACTTGACAGGTCGTGATCGCAGGGTCGAAGTGCAGTTCCACTGCCATCCACAATCTACAGACCAGATTGGCTGGATCAAGGAGTTAACCACCTGTTCCTACCTGATGGTTATTTACACCCCACGTCTTTGCGACGATGTTGCTTTCTTGCCCCCACAACAAGACGAGATCCACAACATCGAATGCCGTGAGATTCTCATGCCTGAGGATGTGGCTGATTGGGAAGCTATGAAAGACTGGTACCAGGCTGAACAATTAGTGGATGCCGCTGCCGCAGTTGAACTGGAGAAAGTTCAGATTGTGGGCGGAATTGAGGTTGGTGCCCGTAGACTGGTGGGAATGGAGGGCAAAGTGATTGAGAAGGGCCGCGTGGCTTCAACCGCTGAAGAGCGGACTGAGGCTGTCGTTAAGCGCGAGAATGGCGAGGTCCGACTCGTGTCTAAGCAGTTGCTGAAGAAGTACGAGCTTAATGAGGAGAAGCTCGAGGAGATGCAGAAACGTCTGGATAAACTCGCAGATGGGAAAGACTGGACACTTGAAGTTGTTGTGGAGAATAATGGGGTGATCAAGTTCCAGGGTGTCGTTTCTGAGGATGCTGACGACACCACTGGTTCTCCTGATGATCAACCGCTGAAGGAGGAGAAAACACCCCACGGGGAAGATGCGCCGCTGAAAAAGTCTTCGGATACCAACAAGGACTCGGGCGAAGCACCGCCGACAAAGAAACAACCCCCATCTGACAAGGAGACGGAGGAGACGGAGGAGGCTGAGACGGAAGGCAGTGAGGAAATCTTCAAAGATGAACTATGAGGGCCATCTTGTACAGTAAATTGATTTATTGGCGTGTCCCTATGTCTCTGAATAAATAAATGTCAACCTATAAGGGTTCAATGTATATCCTATGAATTCGTGTAGGAGTCTAGTGTATACATATATAGAAAAAAAAAGAAAAAAATAGTAACCCATGTCCATGGGTGGCTCTGTGGGTTTCCAGAACAAAAGGTCGTGGCCAGGAACAGGAACGACCGGTTAGCTTCATGCCCAAAGACGTCAGACGCCCCAGTTGCCGGCTACCGAGTGGGGGCATGGGAGGGAAGACGGGAGGCTGGTGAGGAAACAGGAGGTGGAGGATGAAGGATTGTAAGTGCAGTGCAGTGTTGTAGGTGTGAAGAATGGGAGAGTAGTTGTAGTAATAGTGTTATTACTGCTACTATACTGTAGTAGATACTAACTCTGTTATTAGTAGCAGTACTGTCAACTGTCTGGATGCAGCCATACGTAAGGAACGTGACCAACGAACTCCTATCGGCCCACCTTCCCATCCTCCCTAATCCCAACCCCATTCAACTTCACTCTACAACTCTCCTCTCCCCGACTTTGGTGGTTTCTGGGTGTCACCTCCTCCCTACACTACTCCCTCCAACTCCCCCCCTCCTCATCTCCCCCCTCGCCCCCCTTGCCCGCCTTGCCCTCCGTGCCAAGGCTGACCCCGTCACCACGCGGCCTCTCCGACCAACACCGCATCCCGCATCCCGCATCTTCCACCACTCGAGTCCAATCCAGCCCCCCTCAATCGCTGCTCTCCCCGCTGCCCCCGGCTATCGATTCGTCGTGAATTACTGTTGAACGCTCGGAAACCGCGGCGTTCTGCCTCACGATGGGTTTCCTCGGCGTCTACTCGGCTGTGTTTGATTACCAGCCTCAGGGAGAAGGCGAGTTGGAAATTCGCGAGGGCGATCTGCTCTACGTCTTGGAAAAGAGTGCCGAAGACGACTGGTGGAAGGCCAAGAAGAAGGCAGACCCCGAGGATGACGACGAGCCGGAAGGTCTAGTCCCAAACAACTACGTTGAAGAGGTGAGCATCCCCAGAGCATGCGTGACCGGCAAGCAGAATACACCCACTGGTGCCTGTCAGGACTCTTGTGCAAGGCAATCGGTAACCCACAGGGTATAGCCACGGCGTGGGCGCGATGGCTTTGGACCTCGAGGAATTGAACCATGCTTACTCTACTATCATCTCGACAGGCGCAACCCACATACAATGCTAAAGCTCTCTACGACTATACGCGGCAAACGGACGAAGAGGTTTCCTTTTCCGAAGATGCCGAACTATTGGTCTACGACACATCAGATCCAGACTGGACTTTGGTAGGGGTCAACACGGAGTTTGGATTTGCGCCCTCAAATTACATCGAGCTCATTGAGGAGATTGCATCCCGCGGCGGTGCTGCAGCCGCAGCTCCCCCTCCTCCGCCCGCCGAACCAAAGGCGCCTTCTCTTCCGCAGCGACCAACCGCTCCCCCGGAGGAGGAATATGACGCGTCGCCTGCGCCGTCTCCTGTGCACAACCCCGCGGCCGCCGCGATTGCGGACATTATTCATAAGCAACATGCGCCTGCTGCCACCTATTCGGAACCCGCGCGCGAGGAATCCCCGCCTCCTCAGCTTCCTACTCGACCTTCGCATGACCAGGATCGTGAAGCACCCCGCCGAACCTCCCGCAGCGTCCGCCATCAGAACAACTACAGTTTTCCACGCCAATGGAACTTTACTCGCCCGAGCCCGAACCGTCTCGCCCGCCCCGCCCTCAGGTGGCATCTCCCTCAATGCGAGACATGCGAGACAATACCCACGTCAAGGAATCCCCCCCTTACAACCGAGCGGGTGAACTGACACCGAAGTCGCCCTCGGGTTACAAGATGTACAATATCAATGAGATGGTTGAGGTTATGGGCAAGCGAAAGAAGATGCCCACAACAATAGGCATCAACATGGTGACGGGAATCATCTTCATTTCCCCCGAGGGTGATGATAATCAGCAAGAGTGGACAGCCGAGAAGCTGACCCATTACTCTATCGAAGGCAAGCATGTCTTTGTTGACCTGGTTCGACCTAGCAAGAGTGTTGATTTCCACGCCGGCGCCAAAGATACCGCTTCAGAGATTGTGGCTGCTCTTGGTGAAATCGCTGGAGCTTATAAGGCCGAGGGTCTTCGAGAAGTCCTCGCTGCCGGAAAGGGAGGTGGTGGCAAGAAGAAGGGACAGATCTTATACGACTTTATGGCCCAAGGCGAGGATGAGGTTACGGTGGCCGTGGGCGATGAAGTTGTAGTCATCGATGACACCAAATCTGAGGAATGGTGGATGGTCAAAAGACTGAAGAATGGGAAGGAGGGCGTGGTTCCCAGCAGCTACGTTGAAGTGACCGGATTTGTGACCCAAGATACCCCTGTGTTGGTGGACTCATCAGGTCTGTCCTCTGTGGAAAAGAACCGCCTGGAGGAGTCTCGGTTGGTTAAGGCAGTGATGGGCAAATCAAGAACCGACTCTATGGACTCATCCGAGGTAAGCATCGCCGCACAACTGCTTGCAGTGCCCGGCCCTATGTCTGTTTCTATGCTAATACATGTTGTTTACAGAAACAACATCGCAAACGTGACAGTAAATCCAGCTCCAAGTCAAGTAAGCACCCCTTTCTTATATTTCAACAAAACGTGGACCAAAATCTAACCCTGTACCACAGAGCCTGATTCAAACAAAGTGAGAAAATGGACCGACCGGACCAAGGCCTTTACGGTCGAAGCGCAGTTCATTGGTCTCCAGGATGGGAAGATTCATCTCCATAAGACCAATGGAATCAAGATTGCAGTTCCAGTAGCCAAGATGTCCGTTGAGGATTTGGAGTATGTGGAGAAGGCTGCTGGTGTCTCTTTGGATGAGGACAAGCCCTTGTCCAGTATTCGGGCTCGAGCCACCTCCGACCCCAAGGGCGCCGCAGGTGCCTCTGTGCAACGGCCAGAGTATGACTGGTTCGACTTCTTCCTGAAGTCCGGCGTTGGCCCACACCAGTGTGAACGTTATGCACAGAATTTCCTGAAGGATTCGATGGATGAGTCTGTTCTACCTGATATCAGTCCCGAAACCCTTCGCTCTTTGGGATTGAAGGAGGGTGATATTTTGCGGGTCATGCGTCACCTCGACGCCACACTCGGACGTACTGGTTCCAAATCCTCCAAGCTTCGCAATGTCAGCTTTGGTGGTGAGGAGGTCATTGGCAATGGCGATGAAGGCGGTCTTTTTGCTGGCCCTGGTGGCATGTTGCGTAACAACACTCGCAAGGGACGTCCAGCACCCACTCTACAGGCCGGCGATGTCGTGGACCCCAAGGCATTTGAGCAAGCGGATGGGTCGAAGCCGAAGGAGAAAGAGCGCTCTGCCAGTCCTCCAACTCCCGTAGCTCCCTCGGCCCCGGAGAAGCCCGTCCAACGTGGATTCGACGATGATGCCTGGGAAGTAAAACAGCCCAAGCAATCCACAACATCGGCCCCTGCTGCCCGAGTCGCATCTCCCCCAGCCGCGCCTGCTCCAGTCCAGAAGCAGGTGACTGGGGCGATGGCGGATTTGACTTTGCTTCAAGCTCCTCTACAGCCTACTCCCGCACCTGCGCCAACTGTTTCTATCCCTGCTATTCAGCCTCAGCAAACTGCCGTTCAGACCCCACCTCCACAGCAGCCACAAGCAACAGGTGCTACCCCCGACTTATTTGCTCAGGTCGCACAACTTGGACAACAGGCTAGAGCGCGCCCACACGCCCCTCAGAACATGAACCAGAACTCGCTTCTTCCTCCCCCTCCCCAACGCCCGCTCTCAGCGCCTCAAAACTTCTCGCAACAGCAGAATTCTTTTGGCCCTCCTCCTTTGCAGGCTCAACTTACGGGTCTTCCCCAGGCCGGTCAACCAGTCGGTCCACCAGGTCAGAACTTCCAGCCCCAGATGCCCCAGCAAACCGGCTTCATGGGCCAGGGCCAGGGCCAGTTCCAGAATGGATTGATGCCCCAGCCAACGGGATTCACACCCCAATCTCAATTCGGGATCCAGCAGCAACAGCAGCAGCAGCAACCCTACGGCAATGGCCAGCCTGGTTTCCAAGGTGTCGCTCCTCAGCCCACAGGCTTCGGTGGATTCGCGCAATCCCAGCAGCCTATGCAGCCTATGCAGCCTATGCAGACCGGCATCAACTCTGTGCTTCCCCCTGCTCTGCAGCCTCAGCCAACTGGCATGAATGGGTTTGGCAATGCCAACAACTATAACCAAACCCCACCTCCAGTGCCTCCTATCCCTCAGCAACCAACGGCGGCACCTCTGTCAGCTCAGCCCACCGGACCTCCTCCTTCAATCAGGTTCGGTGTAAAGCCAGATGCACCTCCCCCTAGGCTTGCTCCTCAACCGACAGGACTCAGGGCGAACCTTTCGCAAGCCACGCCCAACAATCCTTTCGGCTTCTAAAAAGAGCAAGTGCGCTTTCGCATCCCCAGCACGTACCTGGCTATATAATCCCATCCCGTTTGACCAATGGCAAATATCCTCCTTTGTCCTTTGCCGCGAAGCGAATCTAGCCGCTGGAGGTTAGGCGCAAATCAGAATTTTTACATATCCTGCTTGTCTTTTCGGTTCCTTCACCGAGCCTTACCCAGAAATTGACTCGCGTACATAATCATGGCCCCATTCCATTCCCCTGAATTCATCATAACGCAGCACGTATCATCGCACACCATGACATGACTCTGGCATTCACAAGAAAGCCTTACGCATTATCGAGCGCCATTGTCGATCTCACGTGCCCCAAGAGCCTTCCTGTCTCATTTACACTCACGTCCTGCATTTCCTTTTCCTTTTCCTCGTCGTTATCCTGTCTCTTTCTCTTTTCTCTGATGTAATTTTGTCGATGGTGATGTGATGTGATGCTTACCTATAACTGTTAAATGCCTTCGTTACTTTTCATCCATCTCCTTGTGTTCCTCAAACGGCCTCGAATCGAATTCCCTTTTCTATCCTATCCTACCTCCAGCAAGTCCAACTTCTACTTCTACTTTGTTCCATGTTCCATGCCTAGACGCGAAAGCGATGCGATGCGAAGCGATGCGATGCGAGGCCCGGGTACTTTGCGGGCTTGGGCTTGGGCTTGTTATCTGTCACGTAAGAAAGACCTTTCAGGGACTGGGCTGGGCTGGGTACTGTTAAGTTCCTATCTCATTCGTCTCGAACATACAGCGTAACTTAGTTAGCTTCAACTTTATCAAGTTTGGAATATCAGGGAGCTTTGTCTACACTGCTGTAGCATGTATGTTTAGTCGTACTAGTAGTTTTGTATTGAATCCGAGAGCAGCCAAATCTTCGGACTGGAAGCCAATAAGTAGCTTAGTATTAAGATAATACATTATCTGATATTAATTATGAATCCCCACATCTAGTAGGTATTATTTATTCTTCTCTTCTGAGTCTTCTTGACCGTCGAGTTCGTACCGCGTCTCATGCTCGGTAGATAACTCGGCCACCATATTTGCCTGATCCATCTCATGCGGGAGATCCTGGCCATGTAGCTCCTCCGGCTGCATAGCTTGACTTGAGTCGGCTTCAGGAGTTGTTTCTTTATATTGTTTTCTTCGCCTCCTTATAAATATGAACAGCGCCATTGCAAGCAATGATACACCAGCAATAACACCAACGACTATTCCCGCTATCGCACCCCGGAAATTGAAGAATTACCGCTCGTGGCGTCTGACGTAGTATTGTCCGAGGTTGAAGTAGAAGTAGAAGTTGAAGATGCCACATTCCGCACGTAGTTGACATTCCATCCTGTGATGGCAATCGCACCAACAGTCGATTGAGACATCATAGTAGTTGTGAAAGTGTGGTAGTGGGAGCTTGCTGTTGCGGAGGCGTAGGTGAGAATCTGCCCTGAGCTGACAGCCATCGCACAATCGCCGGCTTTTCCTCCTGAAGGGTTATGGATTAAAGAATATGACCTATTTGACATTGAGAATTAGTCAGTAGACTTGAATAATGGAGTGGCATGAAAAGGTTCTTACGGAGGGCAACACTCGGCTATAGTGCTAGACGATGATCTGATCACAGTTGCGACGGTGCTCCAACCTGATGGACAGGTAAAGGGTCCCATGCTAATACCAGTCTCCCCTGGCGCAACACTCATACCGCTATTTGTTGACTGTGTGAACCATCGCGATACGATGGACGGGTTGCAGTCATAGAATGAATCAACCTTCTCGCCATATGAAGGGTCCCAACCCATCAAACCAAAATGATTGTTGGGAGTGGGATATTTCACAAAGACATTGCCGCAGATTGGATTCGCTGTATATACCGTTGTGAGAGGGACAAACGATGTGATGCCACCTGCTGTTCCTGTTCGCTCAGGTATTGTCGTAGCGGCAATTGTGGTCAACGACGCGTTTGACATGATGAAGCTGGAAGATTGTTAAGTCCATTTAGTGCAAGCTGCATTAATGGGTACTTGGTTTTATTAAGGCTCGGCACCTGGAGGGGATCTACAGAGGATTCACTCAAATTGTAAAGAAGCCACGGACCTCTAGGGTGTTATTGGGATGGTAAATTACTCCGTAATTACCCTGTTCTTGTGGCTTCGTTTAGGACGGCTCCTGTTGAGCCCCAGTCCAGCCCCGCTCAGGGCACGGTTCCCTTCTGATTTTGGCCTATAAAGTCGTAGATCACCTCGTATTCCAGGACTTAGCGCATGGCTAAGCCTCTCAGCGGAATATAGCAGCCAATAAAATAACACTGTACAGGGAGCGGAGGTGGGCCCCCAACGACCTCCGATGTATCCGTCGATTAATGCCGTAGTTCAGTTAGACCGGGGAATCATATGTACAAAATTAGGGGGATCAGAGCGGGGCTGTTTGTTGGACCCCATTTTGCTAAATACAGGTCCTTCCGAGTTCAGATTAGTATGTATTCCGATACAAATTTGGATGTTCAGTGATACAACTAGACTTTGCAACCCCCGATTGCCTACTATCATTGACTACTTTTGTATAAAAGACTAGTAGTAGCTACCTAAGATATAAAAAATAAACCAATCTACTATTGCATCTTGTGAAGCTACTAGTCTGCTATTCAAAGGGGGAGACTAAGACAGTCAACAATAGGTTGTAACCTTTACTATGCTACTGTATGACAGAGGTATATCTAAATTTTGTATTGAAAAATGCATACTAATCTAGATTAAGAAGAACCCTGGTCTATTAGATTCCGGGGTCAGAGAGTCGCTTAGAGCAATCACGTAAAAATCACCGATGCGCTCTGAGCGCTCTAAGAAATGCTCAGATGTACTCAGTGAGCAAAAGAGGCGCTCACTGGGCACTAAAGTAGTCTGAGAAAGAGAAAGTAGGTACCGTGCCGTGGCTGGCAGGGTGCCAGGAGTCGAGTAGTTCCAACGAATTTAAATAGTTAGAAGATCACCCGAAGACAAGCTTTCGGAGACACTCTAAATAACACTATTTTTAGGTATATTTCTATGTCATCCGCGCAACCATATGAAAGTCAATCTTAAGCTATGCCTCCGCAATAAGAACTAGAAGCGAAGTTAAAGTCATTCATAAGATCTTGATTAGGTTGAAACCGACTTATACTTTCATTCTATAATCTTTCATCAAGAAATGATTCGTTGCTTTTTGTCATGACAAGCAAATATCCGTTCAATTATCGTAGCCAGCATAAAAAGCTCCTCCCCTTGACTTTTCCACCTCGAAAGAGGTCAAGCATTAATGACCTGGTTGTCCATTGTCTTCATATGCCACGGCACCCCAAAGTAGTGGCTTGATAGAAGCCGACTCATCTGATTTAGGAGGTTGACAGGCAGCGCTTGGCAAGAGTTATGAGAACAAGTGGAGCGATCTCTGGGGTAAATTAGCCAGAGTTCAAGAACCGACAAGGCTGATTCCACCCGGGATGGGTTCGCTGGCCCCCAAACTTCATTGTGACCGGGGTCAGGGTATCTTGTTTGCTTTTTCAGGGTCTCTGTCGATCATTTCACACTACCACGACGATCGAACCCCGGCAAAAAAGGGGCCGAGAGAATACTCGTATCTTGCTCCGCGAGTCCGCGCGAATTAGTCATGAAGGAGGATCAATGGTTACAGTGGCGTTGCAAAAGTTTCAAACCTCTTGTTGACTGTTCTCGTCTCCGCCTTGTAATCGGGTAGCTACCCTATATGGGATAGGTTGGCCTATCTATTCCATCTCAGGTAGCTACTAGTATCCCATGAAAATGCGGTTAGTAATGGCGAACAATAGGGGTCAGTAACGTACCCCGATATATAACTACTACTGACCACCCTGCGCTTAGTTATCGAGCGCCGTAGATTGCTTTCACCATGTAGAGGGGCGACCCCGACGATAACATCCGATATACGCGGGAAGATGCCGATGTAGCCTACTGGTTATGTATACTTTAAACCTTGGATTTCTTGTAACCGCGAGACTCTGCATTTTGATATGAAATTAAGAGTCTGGGAAAACTTGAATTCTTCTCGGTGGTATCTTTAGTGTACAAATCACTCATTCTTATCCCGATCATCACCAGATACATCGGTCTCCTTTACAGGCGAGTGCCCACGGCAACCCGGAGGCTCGCCCTTGAGGCTAACATGTGTTGGAGAAAGGGGATGAAGATATGATGTGCGATGTAAGGTGCAAATTGACATGAAAATGGAGGGAGGCTAATACAGGCGAACTGGGGCAGCCTGAGGGCACAACCTCAACAACATGGGCCGGTTTGGGAATCTGGGGAGGCTTCACAATGGGAGAAGTGCCTCTTTTCTGCCTCTCCTGCTCCTCCTGTCACTTCTTCCTGAACTCCAGCCCCGCCTTAAGCGTACCTTGTACGCCTGTGGAAGACCCACTCGAAACCGAATCGGAGTGCTTGGCTCTCTGCTTACTTGTGTAAGCATCCTTGCCCACGGCCTTTAGCGGGATAACTGTGTTATCCTCAGGGTGCCCCAGCCACTTCTTGACTGAAGTATTTATGGCCGGTCTGTTGGTCATGTATACCATCAATAAATTGATGGTGGTGAGGACACATGTGACCACAGATGGGACCTTTGGAGGGGAGCGGTGCTATTATCATCATTAGTTGCTGATTGCTAACCACTCATAATCTTCTTGAGCCAGCTACATAGAGATATGCCGATCACTCAATACAAAACAGTGCTCTTTGTGGGCTTACCATGACAAGAGAGATCAGGCGAGAGACATGGCTCCCGATTCTTCCGGAGCAGAATGCGAAGAGGAAAATAACGATGAGAAATCTGCAAGGAGATTGAATCCATGATGGTGGTGATTACTGGAGTTGGAAATCGTGGATGGGAATGGTGGTGTGAGAAGGAAAGAAAGCTCTACGACTCTACGAAAAATCTCGACTATTTCGTATTCACTACAAAGCTCCCTCCTCGTGTTTACTCGCAACCTCATACCTTCCTGACTGGGCCAGTTCCTTTGTTTATTCAAAAAAAAATACTAGTAGTAGCCTTGGGGGGGCAGTCAGTGATCCCTTCGCTCCTGCTTATTTGCAATCGAAACTTCATGCTCGGGATGGGACTACCTTACCTTAAGGTAGTACCCTCCTGTCCACTATCTACTACAATTGCGATAGAGCTTGAACCCTCGGGTCTCCGAAGGCCATATTGAAATATTGGAAAGACCGACTAACCATGGTAGCTGATGTCTTTTCCAAACTTGAACACGGCTTTCCAAATCGGGTCAAGTCGCGACAAAATTGAAGGCGGAGTATATTCTTCTCGGTGGCGGTGGGATTCTATTCAAACCCTTCAAAACTTCAAGTTGAAGGCTGCTTGGGCTGATCCGTTTAGTTTTGGAATCCTCATGATTCTGATATATTTCCACCACCTTCACCTCAAAAAAACCCGAATCGCAATTCTCAAAATCCTCTCACAGCCCATGTGGAAGACCCTGCCAATCACTATATTCAAGCCCGAAGCCATGAGTCCGATTTTCGTCTCGCTTCCTTCAGAATTGATACTATGCATATCCGAATTTCTTTTGCCCCCCCATCTGATCTGCTTTTCTCTCTGTAATCATCGGCTTTATATGCTTCTACCATCGCAGAGGCGGCGGTCGTATCTGTCTGAGAGAGAAAGACTTTTGATCCTACAGCGCCTGAACAACGACGACCGTCTGGAATACTTTGCCTGTGATATCTGCAATAATTTCCATCAATAAGATAGGTCTGAATTAGACTTGTGCATCTGGGACCCATGGGATTTTTGATTAAATCCAACCATCCCATTTGCCAAAATCCCATGGCACTAATTATCAATCTTATTATACTAAATCATCATTTCCTAATATTTTTGTATTAATTGAAAGTAATAACCTCGTCCATCTCGTCTTTTGTCTCTCGCCAGGTTATCATTACTAAAACGGAAAAGGAAAGCCAAGAGCTTTTGAATCGAATATATCGGTTTACAAGGTGCCAGTAAGGCATGGTTTGAGCCAAAATCAGGTGTCTAAGCCCTAGAGGAAGGTAAGCGCCAAGTAACTATATGGTTAAATGGCTATATGACTCAAGAAAGTTCTTCATCTCAACTATTGTAGTCCCCGACTACACGCTAATCCCCATTTGATTACCCCGGAATAACCCCGCGCACTCACTCGCTCGCTCGTATGGGACTAGCCTCTTTATGCATAGGTACCACAATCCAACGTCGAGTGAGTCATCTTCGGTATGGCAATTAATTCGAGTCCGGCAGTTAGTATATAAATTCCGACGTCAAACCCTTCCCAACTGATTATCTATTCAAGTTCTCATGACCCTTTGTACAACCGGTATCAGATCGAACCAAAAGCCAAAAAAGCCTGAGTTCCCTCACACAATAATGTCATCCAACACCACTGCCGACGCGGGCAACAATAACCAAGCCATCAAAGAAAATATTAGAAAAGCCTACAACGACATCGCCGACGTCTATCTAGAATGGACAACACCATCCCACGGAGTCCGCCTCTCGCATCTCAACACCCTACTAAATGCCCTCGATTCTACCCCCGCATCCGGGGAAGGGAAAAAGAACATACTAGAACTAGGCTGCGGCGCCGGCGTGCCATGCACACAAGTCCTAGCATCACGCGCAGACCTAAAAATAACCGCAAACGACATCTCAGACTCACAAATCGCGCTCGCCAAAGCCCGCCTGCCCACCGAGAACACAACTCTCATACAGGGCGACATGATGGCACTTGAATTCAATGACTCCCATTTCGACGCCGTGCTGGCTATGTATTCGATCATCCACCTCCCGCGCGAGGAGCAGAAGGAAATTCTGCGGAAGATTGTGGGATGGTTGAAGCCGGGTGGCCGGTTTTTGGCGAATTTTTCGGAGGCGGGGTTTGAGGGGTCGGAGAATCAGTCTTGGTTAGGTGGGAGTGAGGGGTCGATGTATTGGAGTGGGTGGGGAAGGATGAGATTAGGAAGATTTTGATTGATGTGGGATTTCGGATTGAGGTTGATGAGGTTGTTGTTGATGTTGAGGTTGATGTTGATAATGGGGTTGGTAGGGATGTGCCGTTTCATTGGATACAGGCAAGGAAGATTTAGATACATCTAGAGGAAAAGGTTTTATCTGCCTCTTTGAAATAAAAGTATATAGAAAATTGAGTTGAATTTGCCGAGGCATTTTGTCCGTTCGACTATTTACTGGTTGGTTTAGAGACTCTTTTTTTAAACCCACTACTTCGTTGAGTGTTTAGAGCAAGATTTCGTCACGAGCGGTAACCCTATGGCTTGTTTACTTCGACATCGAAATAGATTTATGTGATATTCAAGTTCGAGTAGAGAGGTAAGATTCAACATTTGTTCATCATCCACTTGACAAGCCAGGGTTATTTCGCCCAGAAATTCTAACCAAAAAAAGACGGAACAGAAATACACCAAAAAAGATTCATCAAGTCATGGACCACCCACTTTATATGGGTATAATATAATGAACAAAGACCCCACCGAAAAGACATGACGCCAATGCACCCCGCTTCCAATTCAATATAAAGACCAAACCAAAGTATAGGTTCAAAAGGCTCAAAATTAGGATTCATCCCAGATCCCAAACACCGGAAGGTCTTCAGCCATGTACAGCAAGCCGCTCTCAGGGAACATGACATCTGAGAGAGGCGAGGGACCGGAGGCCGGAAGTTGACCGGTAGGAATAGTACCGCCGGGCGAACAGCCAACGGGAATTCCTGACGTCGTAAGGGCAGAGATGGCAGCGTCGTAAGATAAAGCCGATGGGTCTGCCCCGCTGTAAAGTGCGTCCCACATTTCGTTTCCTGGAGGCTGGGTGCCAGGGAAAGGTTGTTGTGCGGCTAGGAATGAAGTAGGGGTACTGACAGCCGGTTTATTGGACGAGGAAGGGGACGGGACGGCGGATGAACGATGGGGTTCAGAGAGATGGTTGGACGCGGGTATATCACGAGCAGAGCCCGGGTCAGCGCTGTTTACTTGGCCGAAGAGTTGATCGACTTGTTTGCTTCGATGATCCATCCATTGCCGATTGCGTCGTTGGATGTACTCCGCGACGGCAGAACGGAGATATTTGACGATTTGGTAGAAGCGGCATGCGTGAGGGTCGTGCGGGACAAAGACTCCTAGGAACCGCTCTGCCTTGCCCATGCCCTCTTCCAGGGGTAGAAGGTTATCGTAATCTGCGAAAAACGCGGCACCCAGAACGACGGCTGAATTGAATACTGAATTGATCAAGAATGGGAGACGTTTGGGGAGGGAGGAGAATCGGCCGAGATCCTCTACGACGTCGAGGCCGCGTAGAGCGGAATAGACACAGGCATCTGAGAATAAGGAAATTCGGGAGCTGCCGTTCTTTGAATCGGACGGTGCGGACGGATCGGATTTGTTCTTCACGTATTGTGCCACGCGGTAGACGAGGAACGGTCGTGTCAGGAGAATGATGGACCAATAATATGATCCGAAAACATGCGCCGCCGCCAAGCTTTCTTCCATGCTCTTGTGATCGAGTCGTTCAGTTTGCATCTTGAGAACGTCGGGCAGAGTGCGCACCCATGCACGATGTTGGTTTGAAATCGATTCAGCAACGCTGATGGAGATGACTTGCTTCATATAGACGTCGGTTAGGATCCGCTCAAAAATGCGACAAAGCGAAATGACTGCGACTGAGAGTTGTTGCTCTGGAGTCGAATTCCGCTGCGCATCTCCGGATTCAAGAGCGTCATCACGAATATCATAGTCATAGTCAGAAGTTGCAGGCGGGCGCCCTAGAGAGGCACTGAGGAATAAGTCCATCATTCGGAGACTTTTCCACACTCGTTCTCTGGCCCTTCTTTCCCGTACGCAAAACAGCGCGTTTGCATCTTTGCGGTGAATCCCGACAGCGTACGCGGCACGAAGCGCAATTCCAAGATTCATGAATGCGCCATTGCGCCTACATGCTCCAAGCATATACATCGAAACCAATATGTATGACTGAATGGTGTGAATGCTGGGGGTTTCCTGGAAAGCCGAGAACGCTAATTGCCGGCCACTACCGAAGAATTGCTCGGCTCTATCTTGGTGTATACTTGAAACTTGTGCTCCAATGGCGAGGACGAGGTAGAATATTGAGCTCACGGTATCTTCATCGCCCGTTGGGTTTCCTACCCAGTTGGCTAATCGAGGGTGGAATTCTTCCAAGTCGAACAAATCGAGGAGAGGGTTGGTAGCGAGCACAAATTGTCGAGCAAGTTGTTGGGCGTCTTCATTGCTAGGCGGCTGTACAAGCGCACTGGGCTGGGTGCTCGGGTTATTTTGAAAGGCTTCGAGCATGGAATGCCTGGAGTTATCTTCGGTAAATTCACATCGACCAATTGATGAAGATACCACCCGACGAACACTTTGCAAGAACGACAGACTGGCCGAATCGCCAATATACATGAATTTGCCTTGCCCGTCGCGTAAAAGGCGCGCAACTTTCGGTACAGGCGCGGTCCCTTCCTTCTCGTCACGGACCTGGTGTTCTAAATTCATCCCTCGATCTTCAAGGGAATTCAACAGTCGATCCATCGCCGTCTCGCGTTGCGGTGAAGGTATTATGCGTTCGCTGAGTAGCATGGTCGAATCCTTGGCTTCGGGCTTGAGTAGCCTGGCGGGGCGATCCGAGAAATGACATTCCGATTCCTTCTTTCGTTGAACACAGATCGTGCACGGGTGTTCACCGTTGCATTTCTGCTTGCGACGCTTGCAACTATCGCAAGCTCGGCGACAGCGGAGGCGCGCTCCTGGAGCTGTACTTGCCCGAGGCATAGCCACTTGCGCCACTGAGGCTCGTTCGGTCAATGAGTCGCCTGGAAAATCCGTGCGTCATAGGTCATCGATGCGGGAAAATTTGTATCTGGAGCGAGTTTTGGGGTTTCTCGAGGATAATCTTGCGGGGCTGCGTCGCGCGGCGTGGCGGAGGAGCGGAGCGGGCGGGCATGCTGCTCTCCCCGGACTCTGAAATATTACTAAGCAGGTCCCACCGGATTAGGATTTCCAATCTGATACTCTTAAGAGTCTTAACTTACTCCTTGACTCAGGACGAACGAAATGACAATTCTCATAAATATCCCAAATAAATACACTACTACTTTTCACTCTGGCCGGAATGAAACAACTTTTCCCCAGGTATCCGCAGTTCCCCAAATGCCAGATCGCAAACAGGTCAACTGCACGATCTGGCTATGATCGACGAATACATTGACATCGATCCCAAACTCTCGAACATACCAATTGAATACCTTGGGATCTGCAGCTTCAAACATGACACGCTCAGAAGGAAGCTCCTTCATGATTTTCGAGACCACGTCCGTTCTCCACGAGTTCACATTCTCCGTAATTCCCTCCGACTCGATCATCAACCGCTTCACTCCGTTGTCGAGGAACTTTCGCCCCAAGTTCACTAGCTTCGCCGGATCCGAAGTCCCAATTGCTTCCAGTCCCGATGCTGGAGTGTCTCCCCCGGCACCGAACTGGATTCCCAATTCTGGCTTTGCCTCGAGCTTGTAGGAGTGCACTTTATCAACGAGTCGAAGCCAGTCATCCTCAGGGATTGACAGAAAGCCCGAGGAGAGTTCGACAACATCGAAGCTAGAAAATTGCCATCTGTAAGTTTTCTTTTTTTTTACCTTTCTTAGAGGTCTGAAATTGCAAGGATGCAACTTACCCCAGATCCTTGCATTTGGTCAAGTAGCGGTCAAATACGGTGTTTGCGTCGGGGTGCGTGAGGAGATGCTCGGCCCAGCCGCCCTATCAACCACCACCGTCAGTCAAATTTACCCTCAAAGCCACGTATTATATGTAGTGATAAATATTGTTATTGTAGCATACCGTAGAGACGTAAACATCGTGTTCATGGGCAAGATCGATTAATTCGCGCAGGGGTTTCTCCTCAAACAGGGAAAAGGAGCCTAGATACAATCAATCAACACTGTGAATCGAATCAAGCATCCTTGATCTCGAACCCACCCCCAGCAAACTTCAGTCCGTCAACATGGTTTCCCATTCTATGGAGTAAGGTCAGATATGTTAAATATCCAGAGGAAGACTCGGGCGGATAACTTGAAATGAACTCACGTTTCGAGTACATCTGCGAGATATCGCTTGCCCATTGCCTGTTCGCATGAGCTTAGTTCATTTAATTACTGACCCTGAGAGTATTCATACCGAGTAGTATGGGCCTCGAATCTCCGTAACGCCCTTGCTTCGAGGCTTAGCAGGTCTCGGGTTCGATCTCGCAAAGCCGAAGCCATTCTGTTTGTCCTGGAGGAGTGACAATCCTTGTGCTGGGGGCGTGGTAGACAGGCCCCTGGCTTGTGTGGATGCTGCTGCCATCTTGGTCATATGGGCAATAGGCATGCGGCTCATCAGCCGGGTGGCTGCCACGAGGGAGTTTGCACCAGTCATGGTCTGGAGGGCTGTTTAAAGGTTGATGTATGGTTGGGAGGGGTTGATAGAAGGATCAGGATCAAGAAATTGTGTATGCAGTACATATACTTGAAGGGGTGGTTGGAATTATGTTAATTGCGTGTACGAGAACTTCAAGAAACTTCAAGAAACAACATTTGAACCTGTTTGCTACTAGCTATTTTGTCTCTCTTTGGGCGTGAGGTTTGACGTAAACTATACCTCACTCTTGCGGAGAAGCTCAAATAAGGCGGCCGTTCAGATGACATCAGCAATAGACCGTCCACTGTATACCGAGATAGCTATATGTACTACATATTTCCTGCCCGGTAGTGCTTTCGTATGTTTTCCTATTCTAGATGCCGCAGCTTTAATGAGGACGCCCAGAGTCAGGCTCAATGAGCTGGGAGTGTATCTGTGTTCTGTGACCCACCCCTAGGGGGGGTTTGTCAGTCTCAGGCTTAGGGCATCTACGCATGCCGCCTAAACTTTTTGGATTAATGCCCGTGGCACAGTCGATGATCTCGCGGGGTAAGTGTTGAAAGTCGATCTAGACCAAAATAAAGTTTAATCGGCTACGATTTCGAGATCATTAGGTAATTTCTCTAGACCATATAAATTGAAATCTCTTGAGTCTGTCCTGCAACTTTGAATTGCTACTATGATGGTCGCATTGCTGGATAAAGTTTTATTGCGTTTCGCATTAGAAATTTTAGATAGTCGACGGTCCAGTCGGAGCTTGGTTCCCATCCCGGCTCTGCCGGTTTGTTATCGGTTGGATCCTGCCACAAAGGAATGAAAGCAGGAATACTGAAGAAGTAGACGATTTATATGGGTTATAGCCTCACAGTAGTTGGCTCGTACTAGTAGCTTTGAAGCACTATATACTGCAGAATCCTTCCATAACTCCCTTACATATCAGTGTTCGTGCTGCCCTTTCTGCTAGGTAAAGAATCATTAGAAACAGCTCGGCTTCCGCCAAGGTATAAATTAACCAGGCTTTCTCACAGGTCCGACCGGCTACTAGTCAGGTATTACCGTATAGCAAATCCTCTCTCTGAACTGATAAGACAAGCCTAACAAGTCTCTGTGACACGATTTTTTAAAAGAATATACATATGCATCCAACAATGTGACACCATCCACTCGAAAACACCCTGGCAACTGTTCGACAGAGTTACCCTGGTCGAAATCTGGCCACTTTCAGAGCTGTAGCTACATGTCCCGTGCTGGAGGATTATACGGGTATACTAGGAGTAATGTAGTGAGTGAGTCTAGACTATCTTGGCTCTCGGTAATGACCAATATCTATCCTAGAAATACAATAATGATGTCAGGTCGACCTAATTTCGGTCAGATGTTGCTCTTGGCAGTGGTGGTGCTTGTGACGTTCGTTTAGTTAGCACAAAGCTAATTGTCTAGGTCACTGCTGAATGCGGAACCTCTTTCTTAAATCCACCTCGTAATGATGCAATGCAAAACAAATAAACAACCTCTTAAACCCAAAATACTTTCCCAACTTTCCTTTCCCAAGTATTGCTGCACCACCTTGGTTCTAATCTCCTGTCCACTGAATTGTGCATCAAAGTCGAGGGAAACATCACGCATCACCCGCATAATCCCCAGAGTCCACCACGATGGCGGACGACAAGACACTCAGCCAGAAGATCGTCGATGTTTCAAATGTGCTGCAGGAGTGGGAATCAATGAGGCCCATTGCGACTGGAGTTACGAGCCTCGTTAACGAATACGGTGAGGTGATCGATGACATCGGCCAATTCCTTAGCGTCGTCGGCTTCGTCTGGAACATCTATTCGAACATGGAGAAGGCCAAAGAGAACGCGGCCCAGCAACAGGCCATGGCTAACGACATCAAACGCGCCGGTGCGCTTTAGCTCCTAATTGCTGATGAACTGCCCGGGCTTGCCCTGATAACGTTGGATAGTCAGCGTGATGATTACACACGCGCAGACCGAAATAGACCATCACATGGACGAAATAGAGGACCGTGACATAGTCTCCAGAGGACAAGCCTTTCAGAAATTTTTCTGCTACAACATCGTACCCTTTGCGAAGACATACCCGATTACAGACCTCGACCTCGACGTGGTGATCAAGGTCGCCGGTGAGATGTCTAAAGCGGTGGAGATTATCGACAAGATGCAAGTACTCATCAAAGCACGCGCCGAGAAAGGCAATGGCGCCGCAATCATGGTCCTCTACCGCAATTTGCACGCCGTCGTGCAGTGCAAGCTCACGATGAGTAGGTGGCGGTACGGCCTAACGGAGGCCGTCATATCCGACGCCGAGAACGACATGGCAAGCCTCATCAAAATCTGGGTTCCCGTAGTCAAAGGTCTAGAGCGCATGAGCGACCTCTCATTTTCGCAGGGCATCGTTCTTTTCCAGGTCGGCGGCCATGGCCGGCCCAAGTTTACGAAATACTCGTACTATTATCAGGGCAAAGCCCAGCCGGGGAGCAGCTCGAACATGGCACCGGTATCCCAGGCTTTCGTCGAGGCCCGCAAGGTGGGGCGTAGCCGTGCGATCCCGCAGGAGCTCATTGAATGGAACAAGAAGCCGTACGAGATCATGCAACGTCTCCGAGAACAACCTCGAGGCCAACCTAATAAAATGCGTGCCACCAAGAATCTACACATTGTGTCACAGGGGACAGACACCTATCTCGTGGGAAATTGTTTGGACAATAACCAACACTGGAATAAAACACAGCTGCGATTGGATAGCTGCCTCGGAGATAATGGAGGTATGCGGTTCATATCACGTACTTTTTCCTGGCTGACATTATTATGGATAGGGCATTTTCAATGGGGTGGAAGGGAGTTCACTGAGCGTGCCAGAAACATTAGATTCTATCCCGCAGAGGGTAAATATCAAGTCCCCGTTCTGCGAGCTGAATTGCAAGATGATCGGGGCAACTTTTCAGAAAGGGATCAGAATTTGGCCGAAAGAATCAATAATCGTGGTGGTCATCTACTTTTTGCTTAATAAGTTTCTAGCCGAGGTATGTTAATTTCTACTGAAATGTCTAACTATGCAATTTACAGGTTTTGATCTTCCTGAGTCTTTTCCATGGAGTTAATGAAAAAAAAACGCACTATAGTCGAACTTTTCTGTAGTATGGGATTGATTTCGATTGATAATCGGCATTCTTTTCTAACTAAAATGTTACGCATGAATAACTGATCGTCGTTAAGTTGGAATAGTTTGGGAAATAATTGTTTTACTGTCTTTCAGTCTTCCAATATCAATGATCTGTCTCTTAACTGTACCGTTGCCTATAGACATGCTAAAACAGAAAAGAAGCGCCAAGAATTGACAGGGGAAATCAAGTACATAGGGTACAGTTGTGCTCACCAATAGATAACCTCCACGACAAGCCTCAGGCCAAGGATGCAGAGCATCTCATTCAAGTCATCGAGAGTTGGTTATTTATTTTATCCTTTTATTATGTTAAAAAGAATTGTAAGCTCGGCCGTCGTCGCCGAAACGGTCCCACTTTGGAGGCCGGACCAGGGCGGAGATAAGATTCCTAGCTTAACGATATGGGTCCCGCCACTACGAGGAATGAATACTAGTTAACTACTCGTATTACTAGTAGTACAATATTAGAAGACTACTACTAGTGCTATGTACTGTGAGTGCCGTGCGATAGATATCGGGTTACTAGTATATAGCTATGCTCCAACCTTGATAGATATATTAAAAACACCATTATGCGACTAAAGCGTCTGTAGTAAAGGTCCCAAAGGATCATGTGTACCCTGTCGGAATACGGAGGATCGTGTGTTGAATCCGTCGGCGTGATCAACTTCCGATGCCGACGGGCGATCAGGTTTCCGCTGACAAACTCGGCGCTGGCCGAGAGGAGATCGAGGGATAGGGCTGTGATTGGTGGGTTCGAATAAACATCGGTCGACATAATTATATAATTCTATTCATAACTTAGTTGATCTGTTATACTCTGTACATTATAGTGGTAGTGTATGCTTGTAATTTGTACACCGGGTCGCCTTATGAAGATGTGGTTCTGTCAAGGGTCCACACTATGTATCAAGACCTCGAATTCTGCATCAAAGTGAATCATGGCACCTAGTTGTTTCCCTCTTGGCGACTAAGATCGATCCATCTCCTAAGAGTGTCCGAAGTATTCTATATACTAACTTTCAGGTACCAGGCCATGTATCGTATGTATCCACAAGCATCCGCAGGCAGCAATCCCTAATCATATGCCACGCTGTACTCGTACATATACATATGTCAGATATTTACTGCACGCTGTCACCCCCGCTGTGTACGAGCGTATACGAGCATGACCGGAAACGAGTACGTGAGCACGCGACAAGGGTAGAAACCGGTCTTGGCGGTTCTTCCGAGGATGCCAATGTCAACTAGTCCAGCCATAACCCAATCATGTCTCGACGACCCCAGCAGAATTCAGCCTGATACCTTTCTCACCCCAATTCCAAGCTTCTGATTCGCATAATTATCAATGAAATGTGATCTCCGACATCCGGTTGCTCCGGCCTCCGTGCCTGCCCTACAGGGCTTGGCCGTGAGTCGTGGAACTTTGACGTTAGACCTTTCATTTGGGACTGCTCCAAGTCAAAGGCCACTGCCCAAGTTCTTTCATTTCGGCCTATTCGTTTGTTTTCCTCTTTTCGACTCCCTCTACCTTTAATCCGTACCTTTATATCCTCTTACAATATCCTCACTATTTCTACTGTACTGCATTTGTTGTTACTCTTGCATATTGGTACTCGTCATGGGAGCCGGGGCGGTTTTAGAGCCGCTCGTCGTCATTGTCCTCCTCTTTGGAGGCACTTGGATCAATCGAGTTACCGATGCTGCCTTATCACGACGTGTAAGTCGTCGCAGTTCATTCGGCTACCCACGAGCTTCGTCTCCGGATTCCCTCGAGTCGGGTTATACTACACCAACGCCTAAAGATAGTCTCTTGAGTCCAGGAGCTTCCTTTCCACCGCTACAACCGGACGATCACTGGCACAAACGAGTCATTGGAATCTTCAGTTTGACCTGCAGTGTGACCTCCCCAAACACTGCCGTGTTCCAGGACCGTCTCCTCAGTCGTCTGCTTCGAAAGTTGCCGTTCCTGGTTGAATGTTGGTACTGGGCACTTGTATATTGGGTATGTTTCACCCCGCACCATCTCTTTTGAGCTTTCCTCCTCTCTGTTCCTATCCGGAGTCTTGAATCTGTCGCATTATGTTTTTGCCCTTGTGGAAACTCGTGATCGACGCTCATAATCGTTTATACAGACATATCAGCTTGGCCGCGCATTCACCGCCGTGACCCTCAAAGAAGGAACCGTCGATATCGCCCGCGGACATGCATTGGAAGTAATAAAGCTGGAGGAGAAACTGGGTATCTTTTGGGAACTTCCGATCCAACATTTCTTCCTCCGACACCCTCTGTTAATGACTTGGATTAATTCGATATACTCCTTCATCCATATCCCCGGTACCATCGCCTTTCTCGTATGGCTATACTACTATACAATCACTCGCAACCGCATCAATGAGCCTCAACCAGGCAAGCCCCGAGGTATTGTCAGTGGCTCACCCGCGGGCCCACTACTCTATCAGGCCCGACGCCTTACTCTGGCAGTATGCAATCTACTCGCGTTTGTGGTTTTCACTTTGTGGCCCTGCATGCCACCCCGCCTACTGAGCGATCCAACAATCGAAGGCCCCGAGGCGGAACTTGGGCGCAGCTATGGATTTATTGATACAGTTCACGGCGAGAATGGAGCGAAAAGCGTCTGGACAGAAAATCGCTTTTGCAATAAATATGGTGAGTAGAATATCCCCGGCGACTGAGGAATGCAATTTCTCAACTAACAATGTGAACAACCAGCGGCGATGCCATCTCTGCATTTCGGATATTCTTTGATGATCGGCTTAACAATCATGACCATTCCACTCCCTACTCATCACCGACGAACCCTCCGCATACGCATCGGACGTCTGGGTCTCCGCATACCTTCATGGCGCCGACTATTATGCACAATGCTCGGATTCTTATACCCATTCATCATATTGGTCGCGATTGTCTCGACGGCCAACCATTTCATTCTCGACGCTGTTGCGGGAGCGTTTGTCTGTGGTCTTGGGTGGTGGTCTAATGGTGTTCTGTTGAATCTGTTACCTGTGGAAGATTACTTCCTTTGGCTGGTGCGAATTCACAAGCCTGAGCCATCACGAATGCAGTTGTTGGATAGTTCGAGTGGTTGGGACTCGGACGAGTCGTATACACGGCACCCATAAGCACTATTCTGGTGGCATGATATTCTTTCAATTGAATTTAATCATACACCACCCCTCTCTGGAGACTTTGGAAATATCGGTAGGGACAAAGACTTTGGTGGTGTACATAGTCAAAGCGCTATCATTAATTTCTTGGGCCAAGCCTGGCCTCGGGCGCCGTGCAAAGTCATTTAGAGTCTGTTTTCTTTGTTTCCGGCTTCTCTTTGTATGGTTGTACTATATATCACATCAAGTTCTTGCTTGAGTTTTCACCTCTCTCAGCCACTCGACAACTTTTCTTTTCATCTCTCTTCGGTCGATATCTTTACATGGTCGATAGTTTTCATGCTACCGTCTGATATGCGTCACTATCCATGAATGCACTTACACGCCCATCATGGATAAAGGTCCGTGGATGTCCGCTGGAGAACTCAATCATCTGGAGGTGGGATATGTGACTTTTGAAAGGTATATCGAGGCAAAGTTATCGACAAGTATAAGCATTACTTTTTTACCCCCGCTGATAGGAACCCGAATTCGAGTATATCCCTTCCCTATGGAATCTCAGTCACAGAGACCTGTCACTCTGATAAATCCCAACAAGACCTTGACACTCATGCAGTGTTGTATACTCTAGGTAGAAACCATAAAAAGATATAACTGGGTATAGTCTATGTCATTTTTAGGACGGTTTCTAGAGTATATAACACGGCGTGCGTGTCAGGGTGTCGCTAGGTATTTTGTGGAATGTCAGAACTCTGTTGTCGAAATACTAGTATACTGGAGGGATGTATTGGAGGTCTGGTTCCTATCAGTTGGGAGTAACTGGATACCGCAGGCAGTTGAACTCAACCATCTGCCAGTGGTGGTGGGATTAATATTTGCAGGGATTTATGTATATACGGATCGCTAGAGTAAGTAGTAGAGTCAATTCAAAATCATTAGAAGGGTAGAGAGGCCAGGGGCAATGGTTCGGAGGTTACGGTGAAGCAGTGGGGTTGTGCTTACAGAGCAGAGGCTGGCGTGGAATAAGAACAACCACTTTAGATTCATATTTATATTCACCCACCTCGAGCCCGGGCTCGCTCTCCCTTGCTGAGTGGATTCAATTATTTCGTCCACCAGTGAATCTGTTTATTCGCTTGACACGCCTAATTGCAGAGCAAACCCTGACTAGCTTCATAGTATGTCTCCGAGATCAGATCTGGACAGGAATCTCACGGTGAATCAGAGTATCTACTACGCCATCTTGCGCCCACTCGGGGTGAATCAGAGATAGAGCTAGCCTCAGGGGAGATTATCTTGACAACAGTGAATGCGCACGCTGCATTTCTGCCTGCGCCAAACTTGTACGCTTTGAGCCTCTCTCTCTACGCTGAGTGGCTCAAGGCGCGGACTTCAATCCCTGCGTCTACGGCTGTCCGATTCTACTGTCAAGTTTGACTATTGCTTCGAATATACTCGAAATCGCGAATCTTGACAAAAAGCCCTGCTTCAAAAGACCTTATCATTGAGACTGGACAGAGAGTGGTTTCATGCTCTATCAGGGAACTTTCCCCAGTGAATAGCTTCCTCTCTCATCTTTCACCTCCGGCCGACTCTGACACCAAAAGGGTGGCCCACTGCCATCGATCAAGCGAATGAGAAGCAGCGACCGAGGTAGCAGCTCCTTCACTGAAAGACTGTGGAACCTATTCCGGTCATAAGCTCGCGCTGTGTCCCCTCCCCTCGTTCTGCGCCGTGCATACCACACATCTTTCACGAAATATCTCGCACGGAGATTAATCAGACCACTCTCTTCCATTACGATAAACAATCATTGCAGCAAAGACCAGCTGGGGGCTTCAGATTGGATCGTGGTTGCAGCGGGCGGGAGTTGTGGCGTCATTGGGGGGTTTCCCCCCGTTCGCAGACCCAACGCGTCTCTTCCCGCGATTCGACACCTGCGCGACTCTTCTTCCCTCTCCACATCTCCCACCTCCTACACAACCTCTGCTACTCCAACCACCCACACCACCCAATTCCAGAGCTATTTCCCCCCCCTCGATATCTGATTACCTGATTTTGCGCCCCCCATCATGGCTGAAGACGCCCCCGTCGCTGCTCCCCCGGAAACTGCGGAGAAGACCGAGCAACCTCCTACCGAGCAGTCTGGCGACAAGGCGGCCGGTAAGCAAAACATCCCCTGCACACTTCCATTCCTCCATTAGAGCTTCTACGCCTATTTGCGCACCCCGATCAGACTATTCTCCCCTCTGTGCGACGCATCCCATTTAGCTGACCCAGATCTGTTGTTTTCGCCAGAAAGCGCCAACGTGACCGACGAAAAGAAGGGCTCCGAAGCCGACGCGGAACAGAACGCTGCTTCTGGCGACGCTACAGATGCCAAGGGCGACAACGGCGAAGATGCTGCCGCTGCCGCAAGCGCAGAGCCTGCCGCGGAGGCCAACGGAACCGCTGCCTCTTCCAAGAAGACCTCAAAGGATCGACGACGATCCAGCGGCGTTGGCGAAAAGAAGCTGAATCGCAAGAAGTCTATGACCCGTGTGACTCAGCTGCACGCGAAGCCTGGCGATTACTACCTCGCGCGTCTGCGCAGCTTTGCGCCGTGGCCGGCTATTATCTGTGACGAGGAGATTCTTCCTTCCACTCTTCTTGACACCCGTCCAGTGACGGCTGCGCAGGATGATGGTTCATACCGCGCTGACTACGCTGATGATGGAAAGCGTGCTCACGAGCGCACCTTCCCGGTTATGTTCCTCGGCACAAACGAGTTGTAAGTACCACAACAAACGGAATTGAATGGGAACGCGCAGCTAATCTTGATGATTTTGTTATAGCGCCTGGGTTGTCAACACCAACCTGACCCCCCCTTGACCCTGCCGAGTGCAAGAACATCAATGAGAAGAACAAGCCAAAGGGGCTGATTAACGCATATGGGGTCGCCGCGGAAGGCCATGGTCTCGACCACTACAAGAAGGTGCTTGCGGAGCACCAGAATGCTCTAGACAAGGAGGAGGAGGAGGCAGCCCGGAAGGAAGCTGAGAAGGAAGCAAAGGCCCAGGCCAAGGCCGACAAGGCTGCTGAGAAGGCCGCCGAGAAGGCTGCTGAGAAAAAGAGCAAGAGCAAGCGCAAGAGCAAGGCCGCTGAAACTGACGTGGAGATGGAGGATGTGGAGGAACCCAAGAAGGCTAAGACTCCTGCGAGGAAGCGCAAGAATGATGCTGATGCCGAGACCGAGAAGGTATGTTTGGTCGGAATCCTATGCCCATGGAGATGGACTTGCTAACAGATTTACGTGTGTAGCCTGCGAAGACCCCCAAGACCGCTACCAAGATCAAGTTGACAACTCCCAAGGCCGCAGCCGAGGAGAGTGGAAAGAAGGCTCCTGCTAGCAAGGCAAAGAAGTCCGCTAAGAAGGGCAAGGCCGCCGCCAGCGAGGACGAAGAGAAGGCTTCTTCAAAGGAGCCCGAGAAGCAACCTGATCCGGAGGAGCTGAAGAAGAAGAAGGAGAAGGAGAGTACGTGCCTCAATTGATATCTCCTGTCCAGTAATTTGTAACAGAACTGACAAGTTATTTAGTACTTTTCCTGCGACACAAGCTCCAGAAGGGCTTCATTTCTCGGGATCAGCCCCCAAAGGAAGACGAGATGGCCACTATGGGTACCTATTTCGAGAAGCTCGAGAAACACGCCGATCTGGAAGTGTCAATCATCCGTTCGACCAAGATCAACAAGGTGCTGAAGATGATCGTGAAACTGAACTCAATCCCCCGTGACGAAGAATTCAAATTCCGCGAACGTGCCATCAACATTCTCTCCAACTGGAAGAACATATTGGACTCTGATGCCCCGCTTGACGGTGGCAAGCCCACACCCAACGGAACCTCAAAGGATGACGATGCGGCCGACACCCCCAAATTGGAGACCGAGGAAGAGAAGGAGCCCGACACTAAGACCATTAATGACGATACCCCGATGCCAGACGCCGAGGAGGAGAACGATAAGTCCGCGCCGAAGGAGACCGAGACCGCTAATGCCAACGAGCCTGCCCCGGCCGAAGAAAAGCCCACTGAGGAAAAGACTGAAGTTGAGGCCAGTGCATAAACGTGAAATTATGCGCGTGCACCCACCCAACTACCACTGTGTCTAGCCTATCTTTGTTCTTTTTTCTTCTCTTCCATGTTCCTTAACCGCTGCGTTCGTGTTCTATTCTGAATAGGGTTGGAGTGTGTATCTTTTACCTTTTTGCGTCTTATGTTTTCAATCTGAACTGTGTTTCTTGTGACAATCAGCAGCCCTGGAGCCTTCCCCCGTTTTCTTTTTCAACTGTGTAGTAGCAGCACTGTGTCGGATAAAAGCTGCTGGAGCCGCAATACCCAGCAAAATTGTTTCTGTCAATGCCAATCAAAATGAAAATTTTGAACTACGTCTCTTTCGCTGCTTTCGCTTCTCTACGAGTTTTCTTTGTATATGTGGTGCATGGGTGACTGGCTAGTCACTCGTCTCTTTTATGCTTTGCGCAGTTCAAGTTGATCAGGGCAACCTTGAAGAGATAGTAAATGAAATTTCTTCACTGACATTTCTGTTGCTAGAGTAAAGTTGACTTTGTGGAGGAGCCTCCTACACTACAGTCGGATCAGAGACAAGCGATAGATTCAAGTTAGTAGTAGACTTATCCGAAGGGTCAATAGCCAGGACATCACTCTAAATTACTACTAGTAGTAGACACTGCATGCAAAAATATTGGATATTCACCACCACCCAAGCCATTTCTATCTGTTATTTGCCAGCCATATCTATCAAAAAGCCAAACCTTGAAACCGACAGTTTGTATATAAAGGTATCAATCACATCACGCCGGACAAAAAAGGGGGCCCGGGGAAGAAACATAACACAGGCCATATGATTAGTTACCAATGCATGCCCAACCAACCGTGACCTAAATACCATGATGAAATATAAATCAAACCAAACCAAATCAAGCACAAGCCAAGCCAAGCCAAGCGCCACATGAATGCACGGAAGCAATGAGATGAGAAAAAGAAAACAAAAGAGAGCGAGGAAACTCGAAAAAGTGTGTAGTTGTACAAGGCCCATCCAAGCACATCTAAGCACACCAAATAGGTCATAAGTTAGTTTAGCTTCATTGGCCATCTCCAACAACAGCTTCATCCACCGCAACAAGAATCAATGTAGTAATATCATCGACCTTCCCACCGCGGTAATAATCACCAGGATAATACCGCTGAGCCTCCTTCGCAAAAGGCCCATCCCTTCGAAAATCAACACTAGCAATCTTCGCCTCACCAGAAATAGACGCAGCAAGCAAAGACTGAAGCGTAAGTGTCGACTCAATCCGATCCAAATCCTTACTCTCCTTCGAATTAGCCTGCGACGGCGACGGAGGAAAAGCAGAAGCCAATCCACCAGGAACAGTAAGAGAACGCAAAGAATCCGAAATTCCAACGCCCTGCCCCGGCTCCGCAGTCCAAGCACCAGTCATTACCATCCGACTCGTAACAAGCTTGAGAATATCCTGATTATTCAAATTATCAAACACCCCATCCGTAGCAAGCATGAGAACATCACCATGCTGCATCTGGACATTCGTGACAGATGCATCACGTGGGAAATCTTCCAAAAATGCTCCGCCGAAGATATTCGCTTGCGCGCGCATGCGTGGTGGGATTATGCTTAGTTGGTACGGTGTATTGAAGCCATGTGTCTGTGGTGTCGTGTATGTGTGCACCGCAGCCCGACGAAGAAGTACCGAACCCGAGTCGCCGAGATTAGCTAACTCGACTCGTCCATCTGGTAATGCGATGCCGACGGACGCAGTGCTACCGCCTGCTTTCACGGATGGATCGGCGACGATCGCGTCATAGCCTGCTTGGAGTAATTGTTTTGGTCGGAGTTGGTCGGATGGTTGGGTCCAGGATAGGGCTGATTGCGCCATGTAGGCGCAAAGTCCGTGGGAGAAATCTGCCGGGTCGACGCGTGATTCTGTCCAGCCTCCTACGCCGTCTGCGACGGCGAATGCGACGGCTTCTGGATCGGGCTGATCTCGGGATGTTGGGGAGCGGTTCCCGTCGGGGCTGGATTTGGATTCGGACTCGGATGCGGATCCGACGCGGCTCACGAAGAAGGCATCTTCGCCGCTATCTGGGCGACTGCGCCGGCGGGCGACGGGGTTTTTATCCTTGGATACGCCTAGGACGTCCGAGGTCGCGGGGTCGAAATTATATGCATTTTTGAGAGGGTGGAAGCGCTTTCCTTTGCCGGATGAGGAGACGGCAACCCGATAGGAGATGCGGGATTGTTGGGACGAGTCGGTTCGGGGGGTTGAGTGGAAGGATTGGCGCGATGATATATAGAGGGAGACGCTCGAGGGGTATGATGCAGATGCGGATGCAGTCACGAAGGAGGGTCTAGTTCTGTTATATAGGGTGCCTGTACATAATGAAGCCTTGGGTGCGGCTCGAAGGGCTTGGAGGCTGCAGGTGGAACTGCAGGCTCGACGGGGGACTGGCGCGAGCATCGCAGGAAGAAGGGTCGAGCTTCCTGGGGTAGCTCAGAGGAGCATCGAATGAAGATGCTGAAGACGGAGGAGTATATGTACTGTAAAAGAGAGGGTAAAAGAGAGGAGCCCTAAAACAAGTAAAGAAAGAACAAAAAAGTGCCACCCCGACGATTAAAACGGATAAGCCCGCTTATCGCGATTGACCGCCTCGCGTCATAATGTGAAAGGCAGTTGAGTTGGGGGTTGGGAGTGTGTGAATTTGTGAATTTGTGAATTTGGATGTGAAGAGAGTGTTGTAACTATACTCTACCAGGATATCATAGTATAATAGTATATCTACTCTATTGAGGGTTGGTTGTGTTCATAGTATAGCTGCACCTGGTAAATTTTCTACTTTGATTGGTTTCTGCCGCCCGCAACTTCATCGCCGCGACATTCCCTCAACCCGCCCAATTTCCAGTTCGCCACCCCTCGTCTGCAAAGCACTTTAGGTCAGGCCTTGTTGCTGTTTCTGCCGCTGCCGTGAAGCGTCAGCTTCTGTTGCGTCAAGATGATGCACCCATCCCGACAGGCTTATGTCGAGGAAGCCCAGGTAAGCAAGCCACTGTCCATGCCACTGGAGCTCCAACCCAGTGCGCGTTCATGCACCAGATTGCTCGCCTGGGGATTGTGTTCGAGCAAGGCTATGTTAAAGCGCATTTTAAATGAACAGAAGACTAACTTTCGATCTACCTCCAGGACACTGACATGGGCATTAGCCTTGCTGATCTCCGTAAGTTGTCTCTTCTAGACTCCCATCTGCGATACCTACCTCTAACCTTGACAACTATAGCCACCGACCAAGACTATGAACTTCCTCCTTCTACCGCGGGGATCCCCGCCGAGCGGGCCTCAGCGATTCTATCCCAATTCGAGCGCAAACGCAGAGCAGCCGCAATGGCCGTACCGACAGACGACACCCGAGTGCGCAAACGACTACGAGAGCTCGGCGAGCCCATCACACTTTTCGGTGAAGGCCCCGGTGACCGACGAGACCGTCTGCGCGAGCTCTTGACCGATCTCTCAGAACGGCAAGCGGGCGAGGATATTGAGATGGAGGAGCCCGAGGATGAAGAAGCAGAGCAACAGGAAGAGTTCTACACAGAAGGCACAGACGAGCTATTACAAGCGCGAAAATCCATTGCGCATTATTCCTTGCCCAGGGCAAAGGCCCGTGTCGCCAGACTCAAAGAGGAGTCGACGATCCCTCTCCGCACGCATGTGAAGCACCGCAAAGCTATCAAGGAGAAACTTCAAGGATTCGATTTGTACGGTTCACAAATTGCCGGCGATCGTCCTGTGAGTATCTGTCGATTTGCACCTGATGGACAGACGATCGCGGCTGGTAACTGGGCTGGAGGAATAAAGTTGCTCTCCGTGCCGAATTTGGACGAGAAGGCAACACTGAAGGGGCATACAGATCGCGTGGGAGGACTTTCGTGGTTCCCCGGAGCGACATTACCCCAATCCAATGTCTCCCCTTCGTCGGTCAATTTAATATCCGGAGGTGGAGAAGGTAACATTAATCTATGGGCCTTGGACCAGGAGCAGCCTTTGGCTACACTCTCTGGCCATTCGGGGCGCGTTTGTCGGACGGAATTCCACCCCTCTGGACGGTATGCGGCATCTGCGTCCTACGACACCACTTGGCGATTGTGGGATGTTGAAACTACAACAGAACTGCAACTACAAGAAGGCCATTCGCGAGAGGTGTACTCGGTGTCATTCAACAATGACGGATCTCTCCTGGCCAGTGGTGGATTGGACAGCATTGGACGTATCTGGGATTTGCGAACTGGACGAACTGTGATGGTTCTCGAGGGACATATCCGTGAGATCTTCGCCATGGATTGGGGCGTCGATGGCTACCGGGTCCTTTCGGGTGCCGGTGATGGCTGGGTCAAGTGCTGGGATCTGCGCCAGGTGCGGAATACTGGTGGTATCGGTGCACACAAGAGTGTCGTGTCTGATCTACGCTGGTATAAGGGGGCAGAGGTGGCTTCTTACTTGCCAACTACGGACACCAATGGCCAGATGGATATCGATGGTGCCCCGCCTGCTGATGCTACCCTGGAACCCCCTCAACCAAAGAAGTCTGGGACTTTCTTTGTTTCCAGTGGATTTGACAAAAACGTGAATATCTTCAGCGCGGATGACTGGTCCCTGGTGAAAAGCCTGAGTGGTCACTCAGGTAACGTCCTGAGTACTGATGTTAGTGATGACGCCAAATGGATCGCCAGTTGTGGCCACGATCGGACTGTCAAGTTGTGGGGAATTGAGTGATTGGTCTTTTTGATCCTTGATCGACTTGCTGCAGCTGCATATGCAGCTGCATCTACAGCCACATTGACTCGAACCTGTTCGCTCCGTAATCCACCGGACGACATTTCGTCATTCCGGTCTGCCTTGGCCGCGATACCCACGAACCTTCCTTTCCGAGGCAGAACCAAAATGAAAATCCATCATTATATGAACAGATTAATAAATCAGATCAATAAATCACTCACCCGAAGTAAAAAAACAAAGTTTTGTAGTCTGCTTTACTACGGTATCACGTGCACTAAATGCGGGGATGACGTAAAAGTAGTTTTTCCTCCGCGGCGAACGCTTCTTCTCTGCGGAGTCAATTTAGACCTTCTTTGACTTCGACCCCTTTGCATAATATCCCACCATGGCATTCCGCGCGCAAAGCATACGACATCTAAGTCGACCAGTGGTCTCTAATTTAACCACACAATCCTCTCGGTCAGGAATTTCTCGAACAATCCAGCGAAATGCAAGCATGATGCTCAGTCAACACCGCGCACAACCCGCTCAAAGCCAAACAACTCTATCTCGACCCCAGCCATCAATCCTATCTTCGCCCTCGCCCTCGCTGAACTCCCGATTCGCATCCACAAAGTCAGGAATAGACACAGCAGCCGGTGAATCATCTCTAGTCGGCGCCCCAGACATAACAAACTACTACACGATCTTCCCGCTCTCAATTCCATCCGGCCCACCACCATCCTCACCATTCGAGATCTCAATCTCCGATCTCCGCCGTGAATTCCTCCAACTACAAGGCCTCATCCACCCAGACAAATACCCCTCCGGAGAAGCGAAACAACACGCAGAAGCCCTATCCGCCCGCATCAACGAGGCGTACCGCACACTCGCCGACCCGCTTCAGCGAGCGCAGTACCTCCTCCGCGAATGGCACGGCATCGACGTCACGGCCGAAGACGCATCGACTAAACACGCGCTTGATGCGCAGACTTTGATGGAGGTTATGGAAGTGCAGGAGACTATTGAGGAAGTGGGTGCGAGTCCGGAGGCGGAGGCGGAGATTGAGGCTTTGAAGGCGGAGAATGAGATGCGGATTATGGTTTGTGTGGGGGCTTTGGCGGGGGCGTTTGATAGGGGGGGGATATTGAGGGTGCTAGACAGGAGTGTATTCGTTTGAGATTTTGGTATAGTGTTGGTGAGGGTTTGAGGGAGTGGGAACCTGGTAGCACGGAGATTCGTCTTGTGCATAGTCACTGAGGTGGATGGATGAGTTTGGGGGTGGATTCACTTGTGAGAAGATGTGATGTGATGTATTGTATGTATGATTTGTGTAGCTTAGATACGTGTTGTTTAGACTTGATGATATTCCCCTCTTCATTCTGGTCGGATCTTGCTACGGTAATGATGTTGCTGGTCTTCTCGTAGGGCTGTCATGGCTCGGCAGTGGAGACGGGCATATGCCACTACATATTGTACTAGTACCTTTATACTACATTTATCTGAGAGCAATTTTATCATTCGTTGAAGATAATGATTAAATGAGCATGCTCAAGGATTTCGGTAATATTGCGCATGACCTTCGCCATCTACTCCTACCACCTCACTCACTTCTCCACCGTCCACCCACCGACTAAGGCATGGCCAACTCGACCAAAACAACATCACCCGCCACGCCTCCACAAGGCAAGGCTAACAAAGACTCAAACAAAAGAAGAACGGCCTAAAAAAGTGAAGCAATCCACAAATCCCCACGCTGCGGTCAACGAGGCCCACCCATTGGGTCTTCAGCAGGCTAGGGATTGGGCATGAACCCTCCCAGTCTCGCACCAGCGCAGCATCTCAGTCGATCGAATGGCCCCCGACCACGACGTTTCCACTCGGCGCTTTTCACTGCAGCAGCATGCAGGGCGATGGAAACAGATGCAATGAACCTTCCGCGTCGCGCGCTTCCCCAGGGCTTCATTTGTGAATAACAATAACAACGCTCGCCTGACCTCGCGAAGATGACAGAATCCCCGGCCTCTTTCATACAGTAACCCACCTCGGGGGATCTGAGTCGAGTCGGTCTGCACGAGGCGTTGGCGTCGATAGCTTGCCCTTTACCCACACCCATCAGCGATGCACACGTAGCAGACTACTCGCGCTATCTGGGTCGCTTGCTGTGCCCGAGGGCTAACTTGGTACCTTGTGTGACTTGGCCCGAGGGGCTCAGGAATATATTTAAGCAACAGGGGAAGTCAGTAGACAGCTCGGAACTTGAAGCACTGGCAAGAGGGGCATTTCACTTTCAGTGTGAAGAAAGAATATTCGGAGTTACTCGAAATCGAAACCACAAAGCCGAAGCAAGGATCGACTGAACTGCTCGACGTCAACGTGCAGGAAGCAAAAAGGCCTATACTTCATTCACCCCATGGACCCTCCCGACTATAGTAGGTGCGTGCTGAGAATCCCTCAACCCACCTCCATCTCCATACCAGAAACGAACAGCGCTGACCCGACCGACCGTCTTCCCAACTACAGCATCATTCACTCGCCTTCATTTACCTTCCTTGTCGGCCCGCGACACACCAAGCTAACGATCCAATCGGCGTTAGCTCAACATGTCTCGAAGCCACTGCATAATCTCATGAACAATGGGCATACACGCGAATCTAGACACCGAATAGCCGTCCTGGAGGAAGAGGATGTTGAGACCTTTGTCGCTTTCTCTGAATATGCTTATACGGGGGACTACAAGGTACCACAGGCCCCGGTTCCTCGGGAGCATCGCGTCAGTGTTGCCGAGAGCGTGCATAGTCCCGTCAACTCTTGGAGAGGGACGTATCGCTCCAGCTCAATGTCGTCGGCTGTTCCGCCGCCTGCTCCATCGCCGCCGCCTGAGTTTGTTGATAATGGCTTGTCCAAGGCTGAGACTGAAAACATAACTCAACCCCAGCCTGAACTGGAGCCTTCTTCTGTGATTGGAGAAGACCCTGCTGCAGAGGCTGCCGCGGAAGCTGCTACAGTGGCTGAAGCAGCAACCGGAGCAGAGGCTGAGATTGGGGTTGTGGAGGAAGACAAAGGCCCCGTGGAATCTGTGGATGAACCAGCGGAAAATAAAGATGATCAACCCGCTACGACACAGGAAGCTGAGGCTGATGCTGATGCTGGCTTATCTCCTCTCCCAGAGGCGGATGAACAGGCAGAGCCCGACCCTGCAAATGAGGCCGACGACTGGGCATCCTGGCCTACGGAAGACAAAACGCCAAAGGATAACAATGAAACCAAGGGCAAGAAAGGAAAGAAGAAAGACAAAAAGAAGAAGAAGAATCAACCCGCAGCGGAGGAAGATGTACCCGCAAACCTGACGCCGCCCACCACCCCTCCGACGAATCCAGTGGAGATGCATGAGTTGTCACTCGAAAATGCAACAGAGGAGCCCGCCGAGCCCGTCGATCCTGTCGAGTCCATCGAGCCCGAGTCTGTTGCCGAACAACCAGCCGAAATTACATCACCAGAGGAGGGGCCTGCAGAAACATCTCCTGCAGAAGCTCCTGCTGCAGAGCTGGAACATGCAGAGCTCGAGCCTCCTGCAGAACAAGATCTAGAACCGGTGCCCGAGACTGCAACACAGTCTGTAACACCCCCTCAGGAAGAGTGGGAAGCATCCAATGGCGATGAGCAACAAGCCAACGAGGTCTGGGCCGAGCCCGGAGACGGAGATCAAGATCAACCCGCTACCAATGAGCCAATTGATCCGCCAAAGCCAGTGATCGATATGTCCTTCGCCAAGCAGCCGGACGCATCACCTCGGACACCGGGGATGAGCCTGTGGGACGAATTCGCAACATTGCGATACAACGACGAGCACCAAGCCACACCTACCCTGAACGTGAACGTGAACGCGAGTGTAAACGACAGTCCAACCGACCTTCCATACCTAACCTTCCACGCAAAAGTCTACGTCTTCGCCACGCGCTACCTCATCCCCGCCCTGAGCCCAGCTCTGCCTGCGAAAACTGCACCGCGACCTAGTGCACCTCACTTTCGCAGACGCAGACGGAGACCTGATGGATCCGTACCAGGATCGCGCAGTTCTCGGCGGCTTGGCTGCGCGGCAGGCGCCGAGGGTACTGGACCTGATCCGGTATGCGTATACCAAGACGACTCGTCTCGAGCCGATATCACCTACCTCGGCGACGCAGCTTCGGGAGAACGAGCTGCGGCGATTGGTCGTGCATTATGCGGCTTGTAAGGTCAAGGAACTGGCGCGATATCATTCAGCCGGTGATAGTGAGGTTGCCACGCCTTCTTTGCGTCCGATTGATGGGCGGGTGGAGCGGGGTGATGAGGGTGCGCCGAAGAATTTGCGATCATTGCTTGATATGACGCCGGAGCTGGCCTCTGACCTTGTTTACCGCATGATGTGACTTGAGTGGTGAGGTATGATTGGATTGGGGGTGGGTAGTTGGTGGGTAGGAGGAGAGGGGATATAAGGGGAGAGGAGGGGTTTCTTGGAAGCCCTAGTTTTGCATAACTTGTTTCAAGCTGTTTGTTGTCTTTTTTTTTCTTTGCTTGTGGTGTGTTTTAGTTTTTTGCATTGCGACAGTGCCGAGAGACCCGCTTAGAACTGGGAATGATTATTTGTCAGATTGAGGCGCATATTTGGACTTTGATTTCGCGCGGTGTCTTGGCTGTGGGATTGAGTTTGTTTAGTTCAAGTTCTCCTGAAGATGAAATGCATCAATTGTGTACACTGTACGAGTACTCCGTATATACTACTAGTATAATCCGTAGTTGGATGGCAGTACGGGCATTGCTCCATATACTCCGCATACTCTGTAGTCAACAAGATTTTCCGGGGTTCAAGAGCCAAAAAGTGACTGCCTCAGCACTTCCTCGCTATAGATAGAACAATGCAATGCAAAGAGAAAAACAGCAGGTCAAGCGAGACGCAGATCGACAGGGAGATCCACCAACTGCGCAACCGCCAAGCTGGGCATCTTGGCAAGATGAGGTCCAACACCCAATTCGCATCCCTCAAAAATAAGCATGAAAGGGCCATGCGATCGGCAAGAATCCAGGCAGGTCTCTTGGCGGCATAGATGTACTTCAATAGTGCAGGAGGCTGTGAAAGATAAGAGTGGAGTTCAGGGGGGGGTTGGCAATTGCAATGGCAATGCTAAGCGCAGAAGGAGTACTCGTAAATGAGATCTATCGACTTGCCTTCTCCACTTAGTCTCCTTCGACTCTTCAACTATTGCCTCTGCCGCTTTGCCTCTACAACTTTCTCCCCCTTTTCCCTCCTCTTCACTGCCACAAAAGCTTGGCAGCGGTCCGTTCATCAATGATGCGTCGTCGATCATTGTTCTTGGCGTGGCGACCACGCACGTTGTCAGGATCAACGTTTCAGTCCAATTACCTTTGTTCTGCGGTTCGACACGGCGAAACGGTCTCGGCCAGAGACATGATTTATCCTGAAATTGTGAATTATCGGCCCGAGCAACGGGTTTGCATACATCATCTGGGTAACCTCCTCAATCTCTGACATCGACGACGACATTGACGCCGCCGCAGACCAGGATTCGATTCAACTCGTCTCCAATCGGATGTTTCGAGACATTTGCCTCTTTTCAAGGATCTCACAAATTCCGGTCTTCTAGGATTCACAGCCTCGTACAGAGCCACGGATTTACACAGGGTTCTCGAGCCTCTGACTTCATTCTGCACTACAGACCCTCCTACCTCTTGGCAGTGATCTGGCGGTGATGAACGCTTTCCCGGGACAGGCATCAATGTTTCTTGACTTTATCCCGGGCTCAGAAGGAGTACAGAGTATGCCATCGGGCGCTATTCACCCTTGCCCAGACCTGAGTGGATCGTCGGGTGTCAATCCTCACGCCCCTGCGCCTCATCCTCCCCCCTGACGATGCCTCAGATGCAGCACAAACGCGGAATACGCTAATAGTTGGCTCCCGCCGAGCCCGACGAACTGGGTCCGATCTACTTGCGAGTTCTTGGTTCCGTCGCGGCTTTGATGGGTCCTGATAACTGTATTTACGCTGGTAGGTCCGTTTGCCACGATGCTTTTCAGGAGGGCCCTTCCTTGCTCTCATCATTTCAATGCTAGGTAGCGCGGAGGTCTTGGTTTTTTCTTGGCCGTGGATCCTCGAAGGAAATTGATGAAAGAATGAATCAATGGTGGTTACCTGGCCATGTGCTACTGTTGCGCCGGAGGTTCATAAACCTCGATTGACGCGCCCTTTCCCCGGAATATTATTCAATCGCATCTATATATTCATTGCATTTATCTCCTTTCTCCAGCTTTCTAATATTGCATTATACTTTCATTGCATAGTTTCTTTCTTATTTGTTTACACCCCAGATCTATAAAGGACATTCCCTACACTCTAGTCCAGATCCAGACGCTTCATTTCATACATCCCACCACAGTCACTGTCTCTGCATCTCCTTCCAAGTCTATCCAATTGCATTGGATCACCCTTCCACAAACACATCATCACGATGTCTCACCCAGGTCTGCTCGGCGTCGAGGCCTACGAGCTCCCACCACACTCCTCCCACTCCAACCACTCCGACACACCAATCCTCGATGACACGGAAGAGAAATCCTCAAGCTTCAACAAGCACATTCATCTGAGCTTCCACCAGCGACTCCGCCATTTCACTTGGGCATGGTACACCCTAACAATGAGCACAGGCGGCCTAGCCCTCCTCATAGCCACACAACCCAACCGCTTCAAAGGCCTCGACGAAATCGGAATAGCAATCTACCTATTCAACCTCATCCTCTTCGCCCTAGTCTGCTCTCTAATGGCAGCCCGTTTCTTCATCCACGGCGGCTTCGTCCAATCTCTCAAACACGACCGCGAAGGCCTCTTCTTCCCAACCTTCTGGCTATCCATCGCAACAATAATCACCGGACTAGAAAAATACTTCGGCGACGACCCAGCTCCCTCCTTCTCCACAACCCTAGAAGTCCTCTTCTGGCTCTACTGCGTCTGCACCTTCGCCGTCGCAACACTCCAATACAGCTTCCTCTTCACCTCACACAAATACCCTCTCCAAACAATGATGCCCTCCTGGGTCCTCCCCGCCTTCCCCATAATGCTAAGCGGAACAATCGCCTCCGTCATCGCAGAGCGCCAACCCGCCCGCTCCGCCATCCCCGTCGTAACAGCCGGCATGACCTTCCAAGGCCTAGGCTTCTGCCTCAGCTTCATGATGTACGCTCACTACATCGGCCGCCTAATGGAATCCGGTCTTCCAAACCGCGAACACAGACCCGGGATGTTCATCTGCGTCGGACCACCAGCCTTCACAGCACTCGCGCTAGTCGGCATGGCGCGCGGCTTACCAGCTACATTCAGCGTAATGGGAAGCGTGGACACAGCCGAGGACGGACGAACATTGGAAGTTTTGGCTCTGGCTGCCGGGTCGTTCCTTTGGGCGTTGAGTTTGTGGTTTTTCTGCATCGCGCTTATTGCGGTTGTTAGGTCGCCGCCGACTGGGTTTCATCTTTCTTGGTGGGCGATGGTTTTTCCTAATACGGGTTTCACGATTGCGACTATTACGCTTGGGAATTCTTTTGAGAGTAAGGGGATTCAGGGATTTGGGTCTGCGATGTCGATTTGCATTATTGTTATGTGGATCTTTGTTTTTGTTAGTCATGTGAGGGCTGTTGTTAAGCAGGATATTATGTATCCTGGTAAGGATGAGGATGTTTCTGAGTGATTCATTTGACATCAGTGGATCGGGTCGATCTACATCTTCGGCCACGTTGCGGCCGTGTCCGAGTCGCTTCTCCTTGCTTTTACACTTCGTTGCACATTTTTTGGGTTCATTCTTTGCCACTTTTCTTTTCTTACGCGACCAGCCTTCATTCTGCACATTGCTTTTCTTTTTCTCCGTTTCCTTTCTATTCAGCCTGTTCTTTTACATCATGGCGTCGCACTCTTCTTCTTGCTTCAAGACTGCATGGGACATACATACATGACCGGCGTTCGAGCGTTTCGAATTCTTGCTACCATTTTCTGCCTTCCGGTCGCTGGCTTGCATATCCGATAGAAAGATAGACATAAACAAAAACCATTCCAGCTTGTCAAACCTGTCCGTGTTCCATTTTCTAATCCTCAAGACTGCTCGTACTACGACGGAGATGAGGGATCTACTTTGCACAGTTGTCCACGTGAAAGAATTCATTCAATTCATTCTACCTACGGGAAAGGATCAAGTCCGATCGCGATCGAGATTACAACTACGAGTGAGCTTCTCTTGGCTTCGTCCCACCGACCGAAGCCAGCGGGACTACTGGACCCTGACACCACGTTGAGGTGGAAGCTCGTCGTCAGGGGAAAATCGCGAAAGAAGAAATTTCGGAAGATCTGAAGAAGATGAGGGTAAGAAATTCCATCTAGAAAAAAGAGACTTGCAAGGTCTGAGAGATCAGGCGAGAGATGAGACGGTAGATTAAGAAGGAAGGCTTTGCGAACTTGGAGGTAAGGATCCCACGGTATGTTCATCATTTGAGCGCAGATTTCTTGCGGAGGGTAAGCTCTTTAAAGAGCGGAGATGGAACAGAGATCTGAAGAAGAACGGAGGGTACATTTCCTGCGGTAAATCGTGCCGGTAGATCATGCAGAGGCCAGAGAGGAAAATTCAATGTTAGATAATGGCGGGCTCGACAAAATGAAGAAGTTGGGAGGGTAAACCACCTGAAGAAAGCAAGCGACAATTTCTGTGCAAATCGCGGCAACGTTGGCTTGTGAAATGTTGTACAGCTGCAGAAATGAAGAAGTATAAGGGGAGGGTAAATTGATCCATAGATGTGGATTTTCTTGCAAAAATGCGAGCAGGAAATGTCGCGTAGATTGCGTCGTCTTGCGGGACCGCAGAAATGAAGAAGTTGGGAGGGAAATCCACTGAAGATGCATGGAGGGTTATTTTATTTAAGAGATGAGAGGAAAGATTGTGTCTCCGAGTTGGTAGAGCGAAAAAAATGAGCAACATGGGAGGGATAAATACTTCAAGAACGTGGTAGAGGGCAAGAGAATGAAGAAGTTTGGGAGGGTCACGGTATATTCGAGCTTTGGGGTGTAAAACACAATGGCAGAAAATATGTTCAAACATGCACGGAGGTGTTGGTAGTCGTGGAGTTGGTTTCCGCGCAGAAGGAAAATACATAGGAAGACTGGGAGTTCTCTTTGTAAATCAGGGTAAGAATCTGGATGTAAATTGCGAGATCATAAATATAAATGTTGAGGACCAGACACATGGAAGAAGATCACCCGCGTAGAAGTGGAAGAGATGGAAGAGAGTTGAAGAAGGGAAAAACAAAAAGACAGAATCGAGGGGAGGGCCAGTATTTAAGGGAATTGGACGGATATCATGAGCTCCTTCCTTGGAGGTAGAATCCCATCAAAAACAGTGCCTGCCGCATGGAAATATCAACAAAGATGACGTTTGTTGATGTTGTTGACGTTCGGTTGCCATTTGACGCGGCAGGTACACGTTTTAGGGCTAGCTGCCCATGGTGGTCCTATCAATACAGCGGAACCACCCAGGCACTCCATGACCACCAGGCATTTGGACCAGCAGAGCGCATGGACATTGAATGAATTGATGACCTCGACAGCCTAGTAACTTCTTCTACTGCCCAAGACATTGATGCCCAGCCCAATAATTAATGGAAGAAATTCGTATCAACATTTTTTTGCCTAGTACTAGTATACACTCGGAACGCCCCATTTTGACCAGCCAAAAGAAAAGATGCGATGCAATACATGCAAAGATTGGGCTCCCTCCACAGTTGGGAAGGATACCTCGAGATAGAGAGAGAGGACATCGGGTATCATGATATGTAGGTTCGAAGAACAAGAACTTTTAGAGACCAGAGCACAGAAGCAGAAAGGCAGAGCGTAGTAGAGAGAAGAACTACGCCACCTTTCGGCCGACGTTACCAATTCCACGGCCCACCACACTGACAATCACATCGCCGTTCTCATTCTCGCCCGCCGCGTCCCGAATTCCCCATCCGGGCGTACCAAACTTGGACAGATCGCGAGCAAGCTGGATCACACTAGGGTCGGCGATAACCTCCCGGCCAATCTGCAGACGACCAACATCCTCCGAACCCATGGTCATGAGTGTCAGCATCGTGCTCGCGGCTGCGGGTGCCACACAGCCGCCCTTGGAGACAGTTTCCAGGAGCTGATAAGCGCACTTCCGTCCAATATCCTCGGGCGGTTCGCCTCCAGAGGGGGGAGGCGACATCCGCTGAGAAGAGACAGCCGGTCGAGGACTCGGCGACCAATGAAAGACCGAAACCAAGACCGATCTTTCTCTTAGCGTTGGGGTTGTTCTTATCCGGGGCCGGCAGCAGCGGCGCAGACGCGACGTCGGAGAAGATATAAGTATCCGGGCTCAACGGGTTGAGAACACCACGAGCAACCTCGATCATGCGGGCGTTATTGGAACCCGACACACCGACAGAGTATGCGACACCGCGGATGCGCTTTATACGGCCGGGATTCATCAAATGCAGAGTCTTGGGCAAGCGGACCTGGTGACCAAACTGGAATTGTACCTCACCACCACCGCCACGACCATTGGGACCGGGGTTGGATCTGCGCAAGATCCGGAGCTCGACATTGTTGAACATGCCGAATTGGTTGAAAAGCGGGAGGATGGCGGTTCGAACGCTGTCGACGGACATATCACCCGTCGGGGTGGAGGAGGTAATGACACCGGGACCGGTGAAAAGCACCTTCATCGGCGACTTGGCGAAAGGAGCGAGCAGGCAGAGCGGGATCAGGTAGTAGCTCAGACCGCGGGTGCAGTTGGAAGGAAGTTCTTGTCGAATGAAGCCACCGGCGGCACTGTTACCAGTTCCGCTCGCACCGGAGGCGGTCGAGCTACCAGTGATCAGGCCGGGCTTGTACACCAGGATTGTACCTGTGTAGGAGATTTCCATTTGTGTGCCATTTGTGACGGCTTCCAGCAGACGCAGGAAAGAAATCTCATGCGGTGCCAGACCGGGGTTCGTGGGCGAGGACGAGCGGATTTGGGAGATGTGCACGGTGCGGCCAGTGAGGGTCGATAGAACCAAACGGTTGAGCAGATTATGATGCGATGTAAATCGCAGTGGGGGCTGTTGTGTCGTCGCCATTTTGGTGGTGGGCTATTTCTATTTCTATTTCGAGACCGACTTTGCGCCGCGAAGGAAAGGCGGAGCTCGAAAAAAAAATTCGGCGGGTGGGTTGTTCCGCTCCGACACATCGGGCTAAGTCCGATCACTATCTCCGTCATCAGATACATCATACTACATCCCACCTAGGGTACCCTCGGAAACAGGTCTAGATGCCGGCAATTGATTCCTTCGATCAGAGGAAATAATTCAACCAAATGATTTGGGCTTACTCTCGATAATCAACCTACTGAATTCCCTATTGACTAATACTGCACAGCTGGCTTTTGGTCCTGTCTGTCAGCAGCCGAACGATATATTATGTGAAGCCTGCAACTGGAAAGCCATTTGTTGGCAGATTTATCTAAACCCATCGTTGACTTGTAACTCCGGTAAACAACGGTTGAGCTCAAATGACCGCCCAAGATGCGCGAGCCGGAGTTCAGCCTATCGGTACCCTTGCAGTCCTTTGCAGACGTTGCTGTGAATTATCAGCTCGTCGATTTGTTCTTCAGACAGAATTTTGTGGATTATAATAGTATTTTTCTAATGATAAGTCAGCTTTGCATCCATAAATCCGTGCCATTGGTCATTTTGAGTTGTTTACCTCCGCCTTGAATGGGTAGCCCTGATTCCGAATCGCCCTTGGATGAAGCAGCTTCCGCGGAATGCGAGTCTTGCCCTTTTTTCGCCATGGCATCTCATATTCACCAGGCTGGCGGCTATCCCTGACCCGATCTCGTGGAATGAAAGTTCCACCATCACTGACATAGATTATGTCCTTGGCCCACGGTCGAGGACTGGAAGTGTCCTCGTCGCGCTCCTCCGTCTCTTTCTTCTGGGGATCTTTAGATGCGGTAGTTCTGTCTCTTGAATGCGATGAGGTGGATTCAAGATTCGTGGGCCTTTGAGGAGATTGAACATCTCGAATGTGGAGAACGTACTCTCCGTCTTCGTTGCTGTATTCCCAATGGTGCAGAAATGGTCGATCATATGGAATATCTACCCAGGTAGCGTTGCCTGCTGAATATGGGTCCTGGGTAGTCGAATATCGAGGAGTTGGCATCATCTTTGATGCTTCAGAATAATACTCCCTCGAAGGAAATAGCCTTGTAGGAAAGCGCCCATAAAATAGCCTTGGTCCCTTAGAGGAGTCTAATCTAACCTCTGGTGGCTCATAGTAATCCATCGGAGATAACTTGTTGTCCGGAAGTGTTAAAGATTGCATGGGCTTAGGGTGTACCGAAGTCGGCTGTTTTGCTCTAGGTATGTTGAGGAAGTTTTCATCCTCGGAGTGGCCCCCAGTTGAATCAGATGCCGACGCTGTTGCTGACGAGATCGGGGCAAATTTCTTCTCCACGCCGGTAGAGTCATAGGACTTATGACAAAAATCCTCCGAGTGAGACGGAGGTTCTGAGAGCCAATCAGCAATTCTTTTTCGCGATTCGGTATGTTGTCTTTCTGTTCTTGACGATATGGGCTTCATTGGGCGTAGCTCGGTTTCCGAGAGCATCCTTTCAATATCTTCATGCAATTGGCTACCTTGTACTTCTTCCCCGTTTACCCGCACCGCATATCCTGAGAGCCCCGAAAACAGACTTTCCTCGTCGGTAGCATAATATTCGTCAACAGGAGCCATATTCGGAGCCACACCTTTGGTCATATTCCTTGGATGCAGAAAATCTGGGCCCCTAGGATCAAGTCTTTCATGATTCCCACCACGTTGCTTTTTCTTTCGTGATGGAGCCTGATAGTTGCGCACCGCTGCTGACGAGTGCATTGAAGACTCACTTTCCTCGTCGGTGTCATCTGGGCCCCTAAGATCAGTTAAGTCACGCAATGAGCCAATTGGTATTTGTTTTCGTCGTGAAGCCTGATGGTTGTACCAATCTTCTGCCGCGTGCTCCAAAGGCTGACTTCCCTCGTCGGCGGCATCACAGTCTTCAACAGGTGTCATATTCGGGCTCACACCCTTAGTCCTACTCCTTGGATGCACTGGGCCCTCGAGATCAACTCTTTTATGAAATCCACCGCGTCGCCTTTGTCTTTGTGATCCATATGGAGCCTGAGAGTTGTACACCGCTGCTGACGAGCGCACCGAAGACTCACTTTCCTCGTCGGTGGCATAACAGTCTTCAAGAGGAGCCATACTCGGACTCAAACCCCTTCTCATACTCCTTTTACGTCGAACAAGGTCTTGAATTTCCGTAAGAAGTTCGTTTGTTTGAGCATCATATTCCATAAAACTCCCATATTCTTCCAGTAGGGCTGATGCAAGTGGTGAAGAGGGATTATCCTCGTCGGTGGAATCGTAGTCCTCAACGGTAGCTACCTTCGGACTCATGTCATTGGTCTTCCTTTTCGGATACAGAGTTTCCGAGCCCCGAGAATCGATTTCTGCCTGAGATTCGTTCTGTTGCTTGGCGTTTTCCCCGGACTCCAATATTCTTCCAGTATCACTGACGCAAGCGGCGAAGATGGTTTATCCTCGTCGGTTGAATCATAATCTTCAACAGTAGCAACCTTCGGAATCATGCGCTTGGGCTTACTTTCTGGACGCAGGGTTTCCGAGCCACGAGGATCAATCTCTGTAGGCGATTCGGTCCGTTGCTTGTCTGTTTCTGCCGGATTCTGATAATCATCCACCGTCGGTAAAGGTTGTGCCTCTGACGTCGACAATATCTCGGATGGCGGCTGCATCCATGCGTGCTCCAGTGCCACTTTGGTTGTCAAACGGCTATCAGGTTTAGGATTCATCAAGGATCGTACAAACTCGATGCCCAGATCAGTAACACCGACATCGCTGAGAGCTGCGCTTGGGAACATTTCGGGCTGTCGCATGTAGAAAACTAGTTGACCAATGGGTTTGAATGCAGGCTTTTTTGTGAGCATTTGAAAAATGATTTCTCCGAATGACCATATATCCGGTGCATACAGACTCCCTGCATTAATGAAACCGTATAGCTCAGGTGCTATGAAGCCGGCGGTGCCTCTCAATGTTGTCGACGTCTCGGGAGCTTCTTCCATCCGTTTGCTTATACCGAAGTCTGCTATCTTGATCCACCATTCTTGAGGGGGGTGGGATTTGATGAGGATGTTCTAGATTAGACATCAGTGTCCCGCTTCTATTAAAAGTAGTTCAATCTCACTTTAGGTTTCAGATCACGGTGCATAAATTCGTTTTCATGCATCATTTGGAGGCCTTCGAGTATTTGATATGAGATATCTTGTGCTTGGCTCTCTGAGAGAGGAGGTCTGTCAAGTAGATAATCATGTAGATCGCCCAACTGCAGATATTCCATTGAAATGAAGAGATTCTCGGGGGTACTGTACCACCCGAATGATTTGACGAAGCATCGTTCGTACTATACATATCAGCTCAATTTTCAGTAAAGCCGATGTAATGCAACATACCTTCGGGTGGGAAAATTTGGCAATGGCCTCTAATTCACGATTAAAATCAATGCGCGCAAAGCGGCCGCCCGTCTCGATCTGCTTCACAGCTCGAACTTGGACACCATGCCGAGAAAATTTCGGACAACTTTCTAGCCAGACGGTTGAGTACCCGCCACCTCCGATCTTTTCTTGTCGTTTCCAGTGCTCTAACACAGGGACAAGTCGACGTCGAGACCGCTCAGATTCGTGATAGGTATGTACTGTCTCGACATTGAAGTCTGGTACAAATCGAGTCTCTAGTTTCGAGTCGCGAACTAGATCTGGCAGCCGGGACATTTTTTTTGCTCCAGTCGGCAATCGAGCCGACACAACGAGCAACCACGACTCGAGGACTCCAATGATGACTTCTGTCGTTTGAGGCTGAGATCGTGAATAACCCCGCTGGGAACTAATAATTAGCCGCCACGTGACACGTGCATGGGAAGCCATATTGGGGCCATATTGGAAAATGGCGGTTGATTGGCTAAGAAGTTACAAGTATAATATGCATGCATTGGCAGTGAAATTATGTGTGACTTGGGGTGTATTGATACTGGAAGTCTAGCAAATAACTAAAGGTTCCAAGGTTGTATATAGTAGGATTACTAGGTAATCGATCGAGGGAGGGATTAATCTGTTTGAATACCAGGCTGAAAGCATGAGATAGAAATGATTTACCTACCTAGGTAGGTAATAGTAACCACTTCAAGTTATAAGTATGTATATTCTGGTCTGGGGTCTTGAAAGAAGTATATATACTAGTAGCTGAACTGCAGTTGTATATATCACTAGTTCTTCCTTTCTCGGAGTGCATAGCGTCAAAGTAAACCAGCTATGGGAAAGGACAGCGATGAGAAATAGCACCGCGTAGTCGTACTAGTATATGAAAAATATTTCCAAGTCATGTATTGCAGACTCGAGGGTATAAAATAGACTTCCAATACTAATCAATCTGTACCCACTTTAATAATCATCCGTTAAACTGGAACCCTGGGAAGCTCCCGGCCCGATCTCGGTGTGCTCACGAAGTTATCTCCGGACTTCCCATCCTTCAAGTTTAACTTTGTAATCACACACGACACACTCTGCCATCTCCCACATACCTACCTGCAGAGGAAAAAGCCGATCTCTTCAAAGATCACTACCTGCAAAATGTTACCACCAGCCCTCAATATCCCCAAATGGTACGTTCATCAACCCCACCCCCTCATCCGACGCATTCCAGAAGATTATCTTTCCGAACCCCGCCGCTATCAAATCACCGCGGGGTGCCCGCGACAACCCTACATCCCAACCCTGACCCCAGCTAACATCCATAACCAACTACCAGGCTAGAAGAAAACTCCCACCTCCTCCAACCACCCGTAAACAACTACTGCGTCTACCACCCCTCCACCCCCTCCACAGCCGGCTACACCGTAATGATAGTCGGCGGCCCGAACGCCAGAACAGACTACCACATCAACACAACCCCCGAATTCTTCTACCAATACCGAGGCTCGATGCTCCTGAAAACCGTCGATACATCCACCACACCACCCACATTCCAAGACATCCCCATCCACGAGGGTTCCATATTCTTGCTCCCGGCGAACACGCCGCACTCTCCGGTGCGATTTACGGATACGGTGGGCGTGGTGATGGAGCAGCCACGTGCTGAGGGGGCTGTTGATAAAATGCGTTGGTATTGTCGGAATTGTGGGGATGTGGTTTGGGAGAAGAGTTTTGTTTGTACGGATCTTGGGACGCAGGTTAAGGCTGTTGTTGAGGAGTTTGGGGGTGATGAGGGGAAGAGGAAGTGTGGTGGTTGTGGGGTGGTTGCGGCGACGAAGTATGCTGAGGGTGAGATTGTGCAGCCGTGATGTGACAGTGGCTTTGCGATTGAAGCTTGAAGTCTGTGGCGAGTGAGGGACTGAGTCGAAGGGTGTGTACTACGTAGCTGCATTATGTATATCTTGAAAACGATTTGTATGACGAGTTCACGAGGTGTATTATGAGTGATGAATTCAACATTCCATTGATGGAAATGCATTGAATAGAGTGGGATTGCATTGTTGTCGCCTACATGTTGTACCCAGGGCTTGCTTCAATTCAAGCTGGCTAGGAACTTGAAGTACAGGGGCTTTAAGACAGAGCACTGCTTGTGGACACCCCAAATACAGGGTAGGATCAAAATTAGATGTAGATTTTGTATTAACAGGGCTCTAGCTCAAGTCTAGAGAGGCCAGTATGGTTCTAGAGAGGCCAGTATGGTACGGCCCGGTATTTGGACCAGATGGCTGATCCCAAGCCATGTGGTAAATGGTCGATTAGTTGTGGTCAGGTTGCCAGCTCAAGGATGGGGGGATGACAATGGCAATCGGATGGAAGCAAGAGATGTAAGATGTAGCAGAAGAAAAGAAAGTTGGCCAGCAAGGGCCAGTCAGTTTGGTGAATCAAACCGTAGAAAGTGAAGGTGAAGGGTGTTAACAACAGTTTAGAAAGAATGGGTGAGAAACCGAAATGATCAAGGGAATAATACACGGGGGTGAAATTGGTAAAGAGAGAAAAAAAGGCACAAGCGCGATCATCAAACGATGGAACTGGAGCCAGATCGGATCTCATGCAGGTGTGCATAAAAAAAGGGAGGGGGGGGGGAGAAAATATGAAAAAAAGAAGGGACCATGAACTAGAAGGGGTTCGGGCAAATTGCAATCAGGTTCGTCTCCATCTCGATTGCCATCTCATATATTCACCATGAGAACATTATTCATCAAAAGGGCAATCGATGCTCTCATGACCATCTCGCTCACAGAGAGCACACCACTTGGACTCGTCAATAACACCCGATGACTTGCCAGCAGCCGGTGCCATTGAGGATCCTAGGCCGCCAATACCCTTCAGACCCTCGAGGACAACATCACGGCCGGTCCTCTGGTGAGAACTGGTGTCCGATGCCCCATGGTTCGAAGCCACATGGTCATCAGTTGACTTTTCCGCCGGGGTTGTTCAGCAGCGACCGGCGCGGGTTTCGGTTTATCGGCGTTCTTGGAGCCGAACATGCTCGTACAGTTTAGAATATCGTGTCCGCCAGTCTCGCAAATCTCACACCACTGCGAATCATCATCAGAAGAGCGTTCAGATTCCGGCATGGATTCAAGGCGCGGTTGCGAAGAGCTGGATGCGCCACGATGGTGATGGCGAGCTTCGCTGGGGTTGGCCGGGGCATCATGCCAGTCAGTTGGGACCACAGTGCGGTCAGACAGACGATGGATTTGATTGGAGCTGGTGGCAGGAATGCTGCCAGAAGAGCTGGTTGGCTTGTGTTGTTTCGAAGGAGAAAGGGTGATAGTGGAACTGCGGTTACGACCACTTCCATTGGTAGCGCTTGTGCGAAGTTCCTGCAGCTCCCGCTCCAACTCTTCAATGCGATTGTCCTTGACTTGGAATGTTCCCTCAATTTCATGCAGTTGCTTCTCCAGCTCGGACACATGCTCGGACTGATCGTTGTGGGGGTTGCTATGGCCGTTCTCGCCCATATCCGTAGGATTAGAACCACCGCGGCTCAACGAATGAATAATGGCCTTGAGACCTCGAATTTCGTCATCCTTTTGATCCAATTCGTGCGAGCTGTGGGCGTGAGGCCCATCCGAAGCAGCGTGCGCATCTTTAAGTGCCGCGACGGAGTTGTCTTTCTCTTTCTTCAGTTCCAGCTTCGTTCTCTCGACTTCACCTCGAAGGAACTCGACCTCGGCCCTTGCTTCGGCCTCTCCCCGCCTTGCATCTTCAAGACCCTCCTCCAGTTCCGAGACTAATTCCTCTAGTTGTTTCAGTTGTTGTGCAACGATCTCCACATCCTCGCCGCGATCCTGCAACTCCTTGTTTTGTTGCATCAGCTCATCGAGACGCTGCTCGTAAACGCGTTCGGTCTCGGAGGCTGCAATCTCAAGCGTATCAAGCGTACTCCGGAAATCCGCGCGGTGTCCGTCAAATTCGGCCGTTAATTGGGTAATGCGCTCGTTTCTTTCACGTAACTGGGTGCGAACGCTCATGTTATCCGCGCCCTCCATTTCTTCCAACATTTTCTGGAAATCACCCAGTGTCTTCGATTGCTCTTCCAGTTGCTTATCACGCTCCAACAGCTGCTTCTCTAGGCCCTTCACTTGTTCCTTCAAGCCCAGCGCTTCGGACGAAGAAGGTCGAGAAGGTCGGTTGAAATCGGACTGTCTTCCACCATAAGAAGAGGTATCATCATCCAAACTAATTCGAGAGGGGGGTCGGTCAGATAGACGAGACGGCGCCTTTACCGGACTGCGTTGGTATCCATTTGACGCCTTGGAGCTGGCGGATGGGGTGCGCAGCCCGCCGAGGCTCAATTTAGGAGGAGCAACACGAGGCGATTCGGGGCGGGGGAGGGAGGGTCGTCGCATACGTGGGCGAGGTGTCGAAAGGCTCGGGCCCATGGATTTGCTGAAATTGACGGGGGCGCGTCCTGGAGTGGTAGGAGGGGCAATGGTGCTGGCAGAGTGGGATGTAGATCGGCGAGTGACGTATTTATTGTTGTTCATGGGGACGAATATACCAGACCCAGGGACAGAGGTCGCGAAGTACTTTCGTCCCTCGACATCGCCGTTGTTCTTGCCTCGCTGGGAATGTTCACTGCTCAGTTCGATTCCAGCAAATCGACCTGGTTTGCCCGCGACAGTTCCTAGAAACTTGACGGTGCCATACATGCCACCGGGCACGTTGACCAGGTCACCGACCTGGACATCATCGGAGTTCGCCATCCTTGGGACACAATCAAGAGGTCAAGGTAAGGTCGCGAATAAATAAGAAGTGGGGAGCGTGTCGTTAATGGGGCCGAAGGTGCGGCTGGTTGCTGGGGCCCGATAGCCAAGCCAAGAGGTGTGGTGAGATGTGTACTCGTAGTCAAGCGAGAGAAATGGGAGACAGATCAGATGAACTCGACATCAATCATGGTCGCCGCAAAGATCGTATAGAGGCCCAACAGCAAAAGAAGCCAAGATCGGGCATAAAAGAGAGAAAGAGGGAGGTTCTATAGAAGGCGGAAAGGGGGAGGGACAACAAATAACCCAAGAAACGCAAAGGATTTGTTGAAGGCACTCCACTTCTCCGTCAGCCTTCCATTCCGCCCCGAGAGACTCCCGACTTGACACCTCATTACTCTTCCTATCTGCATATCCCCTGCCTCCTTCCTGCACCGCTCAGGCTTCCTTTCCCCTAATCGCGCATTCACTTACTTCCTGGACTCACCTAAGATCGGCCCAATCTGTCCTTCGCCACTCGGCGTTGTCCCCGTCATCCTCCGCCATGGCGCAGTACTTCTTCGACCTGCTCTACAACTTCACAGATTGCATGTGCTGTTTCCCCAGCTCACCGCAACTGAAGATCAACAATCGCAGCTTCAAACTCCTGCGACTATTGGGAGAGGTATGCAAAAGAAATCCAATGCGCCCGTCTCCAAACCGCAGCAGTAATCTCCATGATCGTGAAACCGTGGCCTAACTTCAAGCTCCCAATCCATTTAGGGCGGTTTCTCCTACGTCTACCTCGTCCAAGATAAAGCCAGTTCCGAATTATTCGCCCTCAAGAAGATCCGTTGCCCCTTCGGTCAAGAATCCGTCTCACAAGCACTGAAGGAAGTCGAGGCTTACAGCCTGTTCACCGGGGAAGAGAACATTATCCACGCAATCGACCACTGCGTCTCGACAGAGTCAGGATCGAAGTTCCGCGCCGATGGAGGAGACGCTGGATCCAAAACAGTCTACATCTTACTCCCATATTACCAACGAGGCAATCTCCAAGATGCCATCAACGCCAACCTCGTCAACCACAACAAGTTCCCGGAAAAGCGGCTGATGATGCTTATGCTTGGCGTCGCCAATGCGCTCCAGTCCATGCACCAGTACCGCGTCAAGAGCGGCGCGCCATCAACACGTAAAGCAAAGGGCGTCCGACAAGAAGGTGCCAATGCCGACGCGGAGCGTACCATGCAAATGAAGCCGAAACGCCGACCAAGCCAAATGCACGGAGACGACGAAGAAGACGAGGAGAATGCGCCATTGATGGACGACGAGGTCACACAGAGCCAGGAAGGTGTACAAGATGGCGGTTTGCGGCCCTATGCGCACCGTGACATCAAGCCCGGTAGGTTTACGTTTTGGACGAAGGCTTCAATGACATCACACCCGTTGCTGGGAGGCTAACAACGCGATTGCAGGTAACATTATGATTGACGATGATGGTCAATCGCCCATTCTCATGGATCTCGGCTCCTTGTCTCCTAGCCCAATTGCTATCACCTCTCGTTCCTTAGCGCTAGCAGTGCAGGATACTGCCGCGGAACACAGCACAATGCCGTACCGAGCTCCGGAGCTCTTCGACGTGAAGACCGGATCGATCATCGACACCAAGGTCGATATCTGGTCGCTGGGCTGCACACTGTATGCCTGTCTCGTCGGAAAGAGCCCCTTCGAGGCCCGCAGTGAAGAAACTGGTGGTAGTCTGAGCATGTGTGTTCTTGGTGGCGACTGGCGATTCCCCGATGAGAAGTCCACTGCCACCAAGGGCAAGGGCAAAGCCGGTAATGCCGACGGAGAAGATACATCCAGCGCCGGTAGTGCGGCGATCAGTGCCCTGTCAAAGAACTTGTCCGCAAATGTCTCCAGGTTGAGCCCGCGGAGCGTCCGGATATCGGGGAATTGATCCAGCTCATTAAGGATGTTATTCAGGAGCTGCCAAACGACGACGCCGTTGCAGGATCGTCTCACTGAGTATGACAGCTCACATCCATTTCATCTCCCGATCTGTTTCTTTTATTTCATTTCCTATTTCTCTCTCCAAAGTACCCGGCAGGTTCCGCTGGACTGCCTCGCGCGCAATCTGTGATTTGGCGATCTGTACAGTATAAGCTCAGTCAGCATTGGTTTCATACACATCAGGCATCAGGACTAATTGGTATTGGTTGTTATTTGACAAGGCCTGAATTTGCGATCAGTGTTTGCTTGCACATTCCATCAAAGTTCAAAGTTCAAAATGATACTATTTACTTTACACCTGAGTAATCGTGTTTTGTAGATTAAAGTCGAGCCCCAGCCCTACTATCTTCCCGGCTCTGCTCACTATGAGACTACATCATCACCACACCCCATCTTCAAGCCCACGCCACGCCAAACCCCATGGTAACGACCTCCGACGCCAAATTCGGCGATTTGCTCGGTGATGAGGGTAAATGCACCCATACTTTCAAAAGCCGCCGGGTTAGTACAAGGGGACGTGCCCTTCCAGACTTCGAGTGCTGTAAGTAATCCCCGTTCGACTCGGGGGCCCGGCTTTTTTCTTTTCCTCCTTTTCGCTTTCACGGGATCTTTTCTTAAGGACTGTATGTCTTTTTTGGATGGAAAATACTCGCCTTTTCTCTCTCTATTCGTTGGATCAATTTGGAGATATTTCTGGGGATATTTCCGTTTTGGGAACCGGCTGTGCTGTTCTGATACTGCACTCCTAGGATACCAGCCCTGACCTACTTTGCAAGTTATGTACAATATATAATTCACGCATAGCTGTTCAAGGGGATTTCCGCCCAAAGCCCTCGTTGAAGTACTGGGCTCGACCTTGAGTATAAATTTGGATACACTCGCATTCTGAATATTCCTATTAAACGCTACAGCACAACTCCTCACCACCCGATTTTATGAGCAGAAAAAGATTTGGTCAAGACATAACTGGGCTTGTTAAACTTGCATACCTTTCTTTGCTCAATGCTAGACGGCTGGTCTTTTGGATATCTTACCGATATGCACGGACGATTCATGGCAGTTGAAAGATGAACTCGGGTGTGACCGTTGTGGGCCGATCTGCCAGCCGCACTATTGCATTTATTAGATTCTCCCAATAGTCACCCCACTAGTTCATTACAGCAGGGGGAAAGAGTGTATTTTTGCTTTTTACCAGCATTGGTAAATTAGTGGCGCACTTGAAATAGACAAGTGAGTTTAGTGTGGTGCATGTGGGAGACGTAGGTGGAACTTGAACGATTCAGGGGGTGACGGGGGCTGACTTGCAAGATCTCTGTTGTAGTATATTTCAAGTCGGACCATCATTATATAGATTGGAAGGAACTTGAATCAAAGGCAGTATGCTAAATTTCCATTAAGGAAGATCAAGAAAAGGGCAATCCTTCGGGTCTGCGTAGAACGTCCCTCCTAGCTTTTCAATCATCATGCAACGTTCTTGCATGGTACGAGCATTTTGCAGCTGTGCTCCACCTATCTCGCTCGCCTCCGATCTTGTCGTCTTCCAAACCCACACTCCACCATCAGATGTCCAGCCAACCCGAATATACTCATTTGCCCGTTCATCAGGGACAGTCATCTCTGACATCTGACTCAGCATCCATACGTTGCTATTTTGCCACCATTTTGGACCAAGCTGTCGCACTGTTGAAATTTAGAATACTCTTCCAACAAAGGTATTATCATGACTCACTAAGATCACAGTGCCTATTCTCTTTTTGTTGCCATTCAGGATCAGAAGCGGTTGGACGCAGCGTGTTGTTAAATGGGTCCAATTCCAGAAAATCTATCTCCACTCTGCTAGATACCTCGAGCGTATACATTCCACCTTGTGAGGGCCATCCGCTGACTATCGCGCCAGGCCCAGTCCCATAGTATAACCAGAATTGTGGCTCTTGTGAAAAGCAATTTTGAGGGGCAATATGTTGACTGCTTATATCCTTAAGCATGGTGGGTAGATCTTGAAGTTGTACGTAGGGTACACAAAGAGAGAGTGATGCAAGTGATTAGATTGTGTCTAGTCTGGATGAGAGGGGTCTATGGAGGAGAGGGATCTCGAAAACCCAGTAGCCTACTAGTATGTCAGGTGACGGCTAACTAACTAGTACCCGTACATATGAACAGAAATTGAAATTGTTTGTCTTAGTTTGATTCCCCAGTCAGAGGGGCCAAATCATGAAAGTGAGCAGTGAGATCATCGTCCACGAGTTTTAGTTCCACCACCTGGACACCCTGGCACGAGTAGGTTAGTTTTTATATTTTCGAAACAACCAAGTCAGAGCGGACAATATCATCATAAACGCTATTTTGATGTACTATTCATGCTTGAGGTACTCAGTGTGTCCGATTCCTGCGAAAGAGGAGCTCGCTGACAGGTTCCAACCTCTGCTCAACATTTATTCTGTTGCCTTTTCTTCCCTCAAAAAGTAGCGAGCATATTGAACTTTGGGACCGCTAGGATACCCACTTTGTTTTCTCTTTTTTCCCCATATCTAATCAACCGTCTAGGCAAAAAGAATCCCATTTTGAAATTTCAGACAATTATAATGATCATTCATTCAAATATTTGGACGGTAATAGCCCCCATAAAATAAATAAAATAATATGGAATGAATTCCGACAAAGCGGAACTATGTACAAGTCGCGTTCGAAGTCCATACAAGGGTCGCGCTATGCGATCCGCAATAAGCCGATATGGTGGTTTGCACAAGGCCCGGTTCTATTAATTACTCCGATATCGTACTAGCAGGCGTTCAGTCTACGAGGCCAGTGTCTATATGTTTTTGTCGTTGAGGTATTAAGGCGAGAACCTAAATCTTTGCTTGGCCGAACTTGAACAACCCTGGAAGTTGCTTTCTGCATGAGGTGCATGAAATAAATTTGAAATATTATATACCATGGGTTTGACTGGCTGTGACCAGGTGCTGGTGGTGAATGTCCGTCAATACTTCTAGAGCAGGCATCTGTATCGCCAGCCTATGACAGCTCAAATATTTGCCGACCCGACGCTCACACCAGTGAGACAACCCCTCATTTCTTCAGGACATTGTATCGGCCGGGCACGAAATCGATTGAGATCAATAGAAGAAATTGGAGATTTTCCGATTTCTATTTTTCATGAATCTGGGAGAAAAGCGCCCACGGATCATATAGTTGTGAATAGTGACTCGGAGGCAACAGATCAATCTAAGTGCGGACTCTAAATCACCACAACAGCGAATTCTGAATTTCTTTCAAGCCTCCCCTTCAAACCTATGATGATGGCGATTCTAAAATAGATCCTGTCTAGATTGACGGGAACGTGGAGTGTCCAGTCCGGACCGCCACTTGAGGGTCATTTTCTTTGATGAAAGACATATCTCGACTTGCTACTGGAAAGCCAATGAGGGGCAGTGATAAGAGTTGGGGTAGCGGATTCGTGTCCGCCAATTTGGGTGCTTTGACCTACCGGGATGACCCCAGCGAGGTGGGTTGTCGAGTCCAATTGACGAATGACTCTCCTCGGACACAGACTTGGGCGCCGATAAGCATTCCATTTTCTTTGTTTAAGCGCTAGGTAACCTACATTTTGTGGCAAGTGACCTACCCCTATGAATCGAGTCGGAAGTCGCAGACTTCGTCGCTGACGAGCTATCAAATCCAGACTCAATTGATTTCCAAGGTTCCGAAATTCTAGCTCTTATCTAACTATCGTCTATCTTGGATTCTTGCATATGCAGCTACCCTTGTATTAAATAGTATATCTGTCTCCATAGCTATGACGTTGTCTCTTCATAGAAAGCATATCCCTTTCGCCCGGACACGTTGCTAGTCAAAAGGGAAATATTTGTCGAGTTCTATGAGTAATAACAAGCATCACACCAAGCGATACAAGATACCCGAGGCAATGATCGCCGTCTCAATGTGCGGGGGAAAGTTGCAGCTCCACCTGATGCTATCGACGACTCCACATTGACTGTAGTGGCAGGTAAGGTCCCCTTACCGCGCCCCGGAGACCCGGCGGGAACATTCCGTACAAGTATCCTGGCCCCAACAGAGTTTCTTTGACCATTAGTACTATCGCCCCAAGCTAGCTTCGGCAAAGCAGGTAGCCGTTATCATGCTGTGACGTTGAGGGTACCCCATCAAGATTTGCTTTTTCCTGGAGTGGGACGCCTTTCTCCTTTTCTACTACCTCTATCCATCCCATCCCCAATTCCTGGATAGGACGTATCCCTTGAAAGAAAATAGCATCTCAATCGCCCTCCATGGCACCGGCAATAGACAGCTCTGCCATTCCCGGGACGGTGACATTGGTTGATGTTCAGCATGTTTTGAACACACGTCACGCTCGAGGCGATTCAGATATTGTTTTGATCCCAACGCCTTCAAATGATCCGGACGACCCTCTAAATTGGAGTCCGAGAAGGAAGTTTCTCTCTACAATCTGTGTCAGCTCGTGAGTATAAGCTCTCCTCTAATCTAATTGGAGCGTATCTTGAAACCAAAACTGACGACTATGAATCTACTATTAGTTATACTTTGTTTTGCGGTATCGCAACTTCAGTCGTTTATTCTGTTATAACACCCCTCTCCGAAGCAACGGGCCTCCCCGTTAGCACTCTCAATGAAGGCACGGGATATCTTTTTCTGTTGGCTGGCTGGGGCTTGTTGTTCTGGCAACCCTTCGCCATGCAATTCGGAAAGCGGTTGACATATTTATTGTCATTGGCGGGAGTTCTCGTAAGTCGTGTTCATTTCCAATCTTCAAGTTGTGGAAAGATTATGGCGCTAACACTGGAATGCAGGCTATGACAATGTGGGGGTAAGAGAGTACATTCCAGTCCTGAGGAAACTCGAGTCTCAACTAATCCATCTAGACCCTATTCTGGCACCAAGAGCCAATGGATCGCTCGAAACGTTGTACAAGGC